TTTTTTTTTTTTTTTTGGTCTGATCACATGTGGAGTTCCATTTAATTTTGCTTAGCAGTCAAAAGCAATTAAGTGAAGAGAGAGAAGCTATTCGTGATATTATCCTTTGCAAGGAAAATTCTTTCCTGACTAACCAACATGGCAAAGATTCAGAGTCCGAAGAGGAAGTTGCTTGTCGACTGCCTGACCTTGAGAAAGATGACTTTGCTGCAAGGAGAGCAAGGATGAACCAAACCAAGCCTTTGGTGCCATTGAATCAACTCCTCTACGGACCTTATCGAAGAAAAGATGCAGAGAAGTCAGATGGCAACAAACAACTCTCAAAGAGAGCTTCAGAAAAGAAAAGTCTAGAATATAAAAGGTGTGCAATATGTGTGTCTATGAAAGCGATAACATAATTAGGCACAGGGAATTTGTGTTGTAGCTCCCATTCCTCTCTTTCCTGCCCTAATTATATGGCGTATTTTGAAGTGAACTCCAGATATCTAATCTCTACTAGGTACTTAAATGCGCATGACAGAGAGTAGAGTGGCCATGACCAAAACAGAGCTGAATTTATCAAATAAACATTGATTTCCAGTGTGCTCTCCAGGCACATCTCTGTACTTGGCTGCTGGTTTCATAGACTGGCAGTCTTGGCCAACTAGACATGTGTCTCTCCAGGTTGCTCTGGTCCATTGAAAGGATGGAGCAGACATAGCTACTCCTCTGCTAAAAGTTCTTTTCTCTTAGTAAGGTTTAGATATTGGAAGTGAGAAAAAAAGTGAGGCTTGCTTTTTCTTGTCTCCCACATAAGTAGTGACCTGTATTACGGAAGCTCAGGACAGCGATCAGCAATATCACCTGGACAAAGGGTGGTGGATGTTTCCCATCAAAACAACAAACAAAAACTATTCAAATGTAGAATAGATGTCTAAATGTCCTATCATGGAAGTTGTTTTCAAATGATTTTTCTTCTTCCAACATCTTCCCCATCAGATTGAGCATTCCCTATGTGAATATCCAAAGTTCAAAATGTCCAAAATCTAAAACTTTTTGAGCACTGATATGACACCAAAACTCAAAAAATGCCATGCCTGACTTTGTGTGGCAGGTCACAGTAAAAAAATAAATTCAGGTGTACTAAAAATACTGTATAGAAATCATCTTCAGGCTATGTCTATAGGTGTATGAGATGTGATCTAAAAATATGATGAACATTTAATTTTTCAATTTATTACATTAAAAAACATTTCCATTAATTTCCCCTCAAAATACTCTCCCTCACTTTGAACATAATTTTTCCATCACTCTTGCCACTTTTTTTTCTTTTCTTTTCCTTTCTTTTTTGTACCAGAGATCAAACTCAGGACCTTGTGCTTGCGGGGCAGGTGCGGTGCCACTGAGCTAAATCCCTAGCCTGTTACCACTTTTGGTAGCAGTTCTAGAATCCCTCTTTCATGAATGTCTTTTCATGGTTGCTAATTCTATCAAATCAAAACATTATGGTGTGTCTTCATCTACCTTATTCATTGGAACTAGCTGTATGTGACTTTCAGCTCTTCCCTAAGGTCAAAATGACCATGAAAGGTAAATGTTTTGAATTGATTCAGGACATAGAGGCAGCCACCACAGCTCAAGTGAAGATACTCATGAAAGAGAACCTCCAACACTGCTTCAGAAAGTGGCAAGAATGGTAGGATAAGTAATAGCAAGGGGACTATTTTGAGGAGGATTGTTTGGCTTTTATTGTAATAAATTTTTAAAATTTAAACATTCACCATCTATTTTGTTCACACTTCATATATGAAAAAAATGGATTTTGTGTTTAGACTGGGGCCTGATTCCCAAGATATCTCATTACATAACTATGCAATATACTTCAGAACGCCCCCCCAAAATCTGAAGTCCAAAACATTTCTGTTCTGAAGCATTTAGATAAAAGACTCACCCTATACATGTCAGAGTGAAGTGGAAAAAGGAAAATTGTAGTGAGATAAATTTGACCAGTGATTTTTGCCCTAAAAATGTTGGCATTTGAGATGTCTGCTTACTGAATTTCATCTTGCAGAGTTTATCATACTTGTATTCCTAGCAAATCAGTTAGAGTTAGCATCTTCCTTATTTTTGTGCCCGACAAGAAGTTTTAAAATCTGTTACATTATTATCTTATGTGTACATTCTACATCTAAACATGATTCTTTGGGCAGTAGAGTATTATAGTGCAGTAGAGTAGTATAGTTAGTACTTTTTAAAAGTAAGCAACAGATATAAACTCATGAAAGATCCCTGGACACAGAACAGGGATTAGAGCAGAAAAGACCTGCTTCAGTCTTAGCAAGACACACTGCAGCTCCAGACAGTTTTTGGCCTGTGCTGTTCTTGCTGGCATACCTTGTAACAAACCTTTCTCTGAGGGCCTTGTGGGAGGGATCAGTTGTTGCAAGTGAGACAAAGATTTGGAAATTACATCCAGGCATATTGATGCAGATCTGCAATTTGAGTTAGGAAAAGCACTAGATTTTATATCTGCCTTTTTTCCTTTCTCCTTCATGAAATTTTAATTCCTGATATTCTCAGCTGCAATTGTCTGTTGTCACCTGACTCGGTGTCTAGGAACACAGTTCTGGGTCTGGAGCACACTATAACTTCCCTCGACAGCATCAAAGAACTGATTAAATAAATACATAAATATCCTTTTCCCCCAAAACTAAAAGAAAGAAAACTCTGTAGTCTTCCTATTGGAATAGGTGTAGTAAAAGCACCAAATCATAGAGATAAAAAATGAATACCTTTTGTTTTTCTGACTTGAGTGATATATTTTAGGGGAAAAAATAGGACCTATTTATGTGTGGTTCTTAAGATCCTTCTTTCTCACGAAGCATATTAGAAATATAATGTGATAGAATATTTATACATATAAATGCCTACGGTTTTGGATTAAATTACAACATTCACTAGCTAGTATTCATTTCTTAGGAGAACAGTTGAAACTATCAGTTTGACATTAATAAGAGTGAATGACTCTGGTGTGAACAAACTATAATAGCACATAAGATCCTAGTGAGATAACTGACAGTGTGAATAGGAAGAAAGGGGCTAAAGGTGCAAGGAAAGTGGGAAGAGTAGGGAAAAGGTAATAAGGGACAAAAAAAATAGGAGAAAATGAAAAAATGGAAATAAAATGTTTGTAAGTAGGGAGGGGAGGAGGGGTGAAAGGAGGGTAGAGGCAAGGGGAAAAAATGAGAACCAAGACCTGTCATGTAAAGGTACAAGATCCCAATGATGAATGTATCTGAATAGGAGAAAGAAAAAATGGAAATAAAATGTTTGTAAGTAGGGAGGGGAGGAGGGGTGAAAGGAGGGTAGAGGCAAGGGGAAAAAATGAGAACCAAGACCTGTCATGTAAAGGTACAAGATCCCAATGATGAATGTATCTGTACTGTATACTGAAAATGTACCAATAAACTCAATGAGGAAAAAAAAATAAGAGTGAATGATTACTAACACAGAAACAAACGGGTATTGATGCTCTAATGCAAGGAAAGAGCATAGTCTCTTTCGCCAGTTTACAGTAGCCAACTCATATATGCTATGCAGCAGACACTGAGGCTGGACATTGACATTTCCTTTTCAGCACTGATTTCAGTGTAATTTCTGGCAGTCGTGGGTTTATGGTTGAGATGTTTCATATGGGAAAATGTTACAACTATCTCCAGAATAACCCTAGAATTTGGATCCTGCAGAGCTCATCACTAACATTTTACCAGTGCAGTGAGAAACATTACAAGGGGGCTAAGGTATTCAGTCAGAAAACTTGAATTCATCACAGTAACTTGAATAGTGTGGGAATTGAACATCAGTACTCCTAAGCTGAAATCTCATTACCATTCTTCATGGTCTTTCATTGAGCCTTGGCTTCTCTTCCCAGACTAAACTAGAGACTATCATCTGCTGGAAGAAACTGTCTCCTTGCAATGTTTAGGGGGCAGCATCGATGAAAGTAATCACAACTCTAATTGAGTCCATATTCTCGAGAAAGGGAAAGGTGCTTCTGTGCTTGTGTTCTGTCCACGGACTTTGAATTTCCATGCTTGACACTCTGTTTGTTTGGTCCCCTTCCTTGAACCTGATTTTTCCTGATGATGTGGGGACCTGGATCAAATTGACAGAAGCCAGGGCCAAACAGAAGAGGTGAAGTCGGTTGTGACCTGTGTTATCCGAGCTCAGAAGAGTGAACCGGTGCAGGAAGGGCTCCGGAAGGTGCCAGACCTGCACAAGGATGACCTGGCCCAGCGGAGAATTCAGGGCTGCCTTGCCCCTCACCGCAAGCCTCTGAGTTTCATCACACTCTCCACTATTACTGAAGCCGACTTGGAGACATGGCAGAGACTGCGAGTGTCAGAAAAGACGAGGTGTGTCGTGTTTTCCCTGGTATTCCTCCCAGCAGTGGTATTATTTAACACTGATGGAATCAAATGCTAGTCCTTGTTTCACTTTAAATTTTGATGGCTGGAAAAAGTTCCTCTCAAAACAGAGCTTCTGGAAACCAGCATATTCTACGTAAAAAGAAACATTAATACTGAGAGTCAAAAGCTACATTAATAGAAAACATCCTGTTTAAACAGCTAGCTTACGGTGAATGTTATTTAGTTTGCTAGACTTATTTGCTATAAGGAATTTAAACTTGATTTGTAACTAATTTTAATTATTCCACAGTACCTAAGATTTTCGTATGATGTTGGCATTGGTTTCTTGAAAGGAGTAGAGGGGCAGGAGTACGGCTCACTGGTAGAGTGCATGCTTAGAATACACAAAGCCTTGGGCTCGATCCCTAGGTGGGGGTGGGGAGACTGTTTACTTGAACAAAAGCATGATCATTTCTTTATAGGACTGTTTAATGGAAAAGCAATTCTGCTCTAGCCATAGGAGTATTTCTTGTATATCTACTTTTGTATTTTTAATCTGTCACTGCTTTATACTAGAAATCTTTAGAACTTATTTCTGGTTCTGACTAGGGATGGAGATGCTCAGCACATCTGTGTCCCTGAGCCTTCACCAGAAATCAATGCAGAAACTGCCATCCATGATGACTTTGCCACCCGAAAAGCCAGGGCCTATATGAAATCTTCCAGCCCAAGGCAAAAGTTTGTGCACTTTGGGCCAGTGACAGAGATAGATCAGCAGAAATGGAGGCGGCTCAGCATTGGCATGGCTGGGCCTAGGGAGGATGTGAAAGAAGTTGCCAATCAGGACAGCAAGAGTCAAACTTATTCTGTGTCCTCTGCCTCGGAGGCTACTTCCGGCTTAAAGGAAGATCAAATGCTTAATCCACAAAATGACTCCAGGTATTTTTTTTTAACCTTCCTGTGCAAGGATGTCTGCATGGAAGCCACTGCTGCTTTTATTAAAGGGTTTGCTGGGACTTGGGGAGCTTGTGCTTAGCATGTACAGTCCCCAGCACCTCAAACAAAGCAAAACCTAACAGTTTGCAGAAACGCGTTATATAAGCCCCTAGAGCTGACATCCTTTTAACATACTCTTCTTCCAGATAGAGAAGTCGTGGTAGGTGGTAGCCCTATGGGGAAGCATGTGTGTGAGGTCAAATGGCAAGGATCCACACAGATTCCTTTGTCACAGGAATCACTGCCTGGAGATGCCAGTAATCCCCACAAATGACCCTTTTTCCCGTGGTGCATTAAGTGTGGTTTTATTAGTTAAAAATAGTGAATGAGCTAGGTGGGATGTTTTAATGATATCACTAGTGTTTCTTCTAAAGATATGATGATTAAGAACTCCAGTTTATCTGTAACTTCCCTGTTTCCTACCCCATGGTTCTGAGATAACTATTAGCATCATAGCTCAAATTTTAAATATCCAAGCAGAAACATTTTAAAAAAAAAAAGCAAGATCTTTTCCCTTCCCTAAGTTTTTCAATTACACAATAAATCTTGAGTGGAAGAAAGATTTCCCTTTGAGGGATTTCTTTAAATCAGATGTTTCTTTGGATGAATCACTGCCCAGATTTGAGAGGCAACAGCTTGTAAGCCTGTCGCAGGTTCTCCTCCCTCCAGCTGCGAAGTCCTAAGCCCTGGGGTGGGGGTGGGGGCCAGTTCTTTATGCTGCTCTCTCTTCCCTTGAGTGGGTACAAGACATTTACGTGACTCGGGGTTATCTCAGGAACCTCCATCTCACCTCCATGGTGGGAGCAAAGAGAAAGTGCTCTGTGCTTTGACCTTGAAATCCAAAGGCAGTCTAGGGTGGTCCACAACATGTTACAAAGGTTTTTTTGGTTCCAGACTGTGAGTGACACCACTGAAGTGAGCAGTCGTAAACACAAGTACTCATATTCAGAGCTTCAGAGTCCAACAGGGATCTAATGTAAGGGTGGAGCAGGAAATTCATGAGAAATATACTCTGGAGCCCTTGATTGCTGAGTCCCACCAAGTCCTCAGGGTCCTCCTGCTAGAATTCACATTCCAGTATCTTAATCTGATTATGTTATTATGAACCAGCCCAAAGAAAGACAGCAGTGGAACTATCTATCTCTGAACCTTTCAGTCTCAGCATCCTTTGTTGTGTCCTTTCATAATCCTTTTTCCTCTTGTCTCTTGTCGCCCATGCTACTTTGTTAGCAACAGGATCGTGAATTCTGGCTCAGACAATTGCGAAAGGGTCTCGTGGCTGGCTCCTGTGCCAGAGTCTGAGGAGGAGCAGGTCTCCAGCTTGGGCAAGGGCCCAAGGAGGCCAGAGCAAGGTGAGGAGCAGTGTCTCCTGCCTCCTCGGGAGGTGAAGGATAACAGGTGGGGGCAGCCTGTGGTGAGTTCTCTCCAGCAGTAAAGCTGTCCTCTCTGGCTCTAGTTATATCCAAACAGCTGCCACAGGATGGCAAAGAAGGAAATGAAGGAGTAGCTCAAAGGGATTCTGTGATGCCGCCAAAGGCAGCAGGTTCAGTGGCACTCAGTCAGCCCCTGTGAGCATCTTGCCTGCATTCCATGGTGTGCTGTGTGTGGCCAGTGTGCTCCCAAAAAGCAGCTTAGCATATCCCAGTATTCGTTTGGTGACTGACGCAGCCAGGATTAAAGTCCCTTAAAGGAAGGCCCAGGATCAGAGGTCTGCTTCAGGTGCCCAATCTAGGTAAAGAGCCTTTGCATGTGGCTGAGGACTGGCCAGATTTAAATGTCAGCTATTCCAAAAAGCAGAATGGGAGAAGTTGCATGAGAGAAGTTCATGGAATCAGAAAGAGGAGAATTTCATACCCAGCTGCTGCGTGTGCTTCTGCCTCCCTGGATATTTGCTTCTTCTGTTTTAATTAATGCCAGTGAGTGACACTACTGAATACCTTTAGCAATAAGTGGCCTTTGACTGGCTGGGCCGAGTGTTGCCCTAGAGCATGTACTCTGGCTTCTGCATGGGAGTCTTCAGGTACAGAAGAAAAGTCAGAGGTGATGACAGCTCCTGTCTGGAGTGGCAATGGACTGAAAGGCCAAAGAAAGTTGACTGATTCATGAAAAGATGGCGTGATAACCAGAAGAATTGGGATGTCGCCCAGACCCACTGGATCTAACCCAAACCAGTTCCTTCCAGTTCTACTTGCAAAGCAGCTAGATATGGAAGAATCTGCCAAGAGTCTGCACATGACTGGTCAGAAGTCAGCTTATCCTGGGCCCCTGTGGGAGCCTTGGTACATGCTTTGAGTGTGTTGTTAATTCATTATGGTGCATCAAAGCTGCTTACCTGCTATTGCTAACAGAAATGAAATGAGTTCAAATAGTCCCATCTACCAAGAATTGTGTTTCTTTTTTTCTTTTTTTTAATATAAGCAGGTGTGGAAAGAGTATTTCAGTAGTGAATTTATCTGTTAAACGTTCTTTCTGGTTTTCATCTTGTGGACAGAATAAGTTGGAAACCCTTATCTCTTCCTGACTCACAGATGAGCAATGGGTAAAGAGGGTGAACTGTCTTCTACTTAATTTTATTCTGATTCCAGGCCAAAATGACGAGTACCACTTATAAAATTTGTGATTTAATTTTTCAACATTAGCAAACACTGTCTTCTAGAGGTAAGACTTGTATGCTGTGGTCTGCCTTGATTTAAAATGAAGAATTAAGAAAATAATTATCCTAGGCTTTGAGGTCGTATATATTGAAGCCTCTACTGTCATTTAATAAGAGTGATATATTTTTGTTTAAAGTGTGGCCTGCCTAAACCATATAGGGCAAAGGAATGGGAAGGGTTTCACATCATTACAGCTTACTATAAAATAGTATAACATAGTCTGCTTCTCCAAGGACCATGATAGAGGTGGGGTCAGAGGGTAGAGTAGGGAGCGGGGAGAACATTTTTAAGTGATCCCCAAAACTTTAAACCAACATTCTAGCCATCTTTATCAGCTGAATCTTATCTCTGTTTTATTTTCTTTTGAATAATAACAATAGTACAGTTGAATTTCATTGTAGCAGTTTCCAGAGAGCAGAAATGGTGTGGATGCTTTACTCAGTAGTGTGCTTTGTAGCCCTTTCAAAGTATATCCACTCCCCGTACCTCACCTTTCCCTGGGAATCACAGGTGGTGGGGTGATATTTGCAAATAGGCAGCCTGATAAGAGGCGAGTTGAATGAATGGATGGCACATGATTTCCAGGCTGGTTAGGGTTGGGCAGCGACAGAGGGACTGGCACGTCAACCTGGCCCTCCACAATCACTCACCTTCCACTTGGCCCTGGGTCAGTGGGCAACAGTTATAGGGCAGATAAGAGTGAAAAGAAAGGGCTGGGGGTATAGCTCAGTGGTAGAGAACTTGCCTAACATGTGCAAGGGCCTCAGGTCAATCCCCAGCACCACAAAAAGAAAAAAAAAACCAAACTGGATACATTCTGGGTGCATTCCCATTTACTCCTCACACAACCTTTGAGAGTAACAATTTCCGTTTGCATTTTGCAATCAGGAAACTAAGGCCAGGGTACACGCAGCCAGGATTATAGAACCAAGATTCAAAACCGTTGAGTGGAAAACCACTGTCTCCATCCAGCTTCTTATCTGCACAAGTTAGAGCAATCAGCAGAACTTGATGAAATCCCTGACACTTCCTTCTATCCCGGTATTTATGACTCTGAGAGTCCTCTGAATATTCAAATGGGAGTGAGTCAGCTTGAGCACAAGGAGATATAGTCAGATTAACTCTGACATACTTGCATAATTGAGTCAGCATATATGTTGGACATACTTGTTTCCCCTTTCAGCAGTATTTACTGAGTAATTACTGTGTGCCAAGTATGGCTAGTTGCTGGGAGATAACCTTAGATGAGCAGTAAAGCCATTCACCCCTCACTTCTACTTAACATAATGCGAGTTCACATTATAGAAATATATAATCCGCTAATTATTGATTCTGAAATTCTTTGTTAGTGCTGAAAGTTGCATAAATGTAACCAGTATTATGCATAGATTATGCCTTTTATCTTTCCAAATGCTCCTACCCTCGCATTTCAACTTTGTTGATGATGTCCATTCCTTTTCCTCTTCCTTCCCCTCCCCTCCCTCCTCCTCCTCTTCTCCTTCTCCTTTTCCAACTTCTTATTCTTGTCCTTCCTGTTGTTGTCCTCCTCCTTCCTTTCTCTTCCTCTCCTCCTCCTCCTACTGTTCCTCTTCCTTTCTTCTTATTTCTCTTCTTCTCCTTCTAATAGGAAGGCCTGTGCCAACCGTAACAGCTCTGTGCCCCAGAGCCTATTGACGCACTTACCTTGCATTTTACAAATCTCCCTAGTGATTTTTTGGGAGTAATTTACCTTTACTTTTTGGTTTTCTGTAGGACAACTGAAAAAGTCACTTGAAGACCAACCTCTAGTTATCTTTCCCTTACCAACAAGGGAATTCTGCTTACATCTGTGCCCTTTACAACTAATAAATTAGTGTGAGAGGAAATTCCTTAAGTCCATAATTGCTTCACAGTGAAGATAAATGAAGGTTATCTTCAGTGACTGTGCTATTCTTTTCGATTTCCAGAGCCAGCCAGTAAGTATTCAACAAATTCTCACTGAGGGCCTTCTCTTCTGGTTACTGTTCAAGGAACTCAAACAGAAAAATTCTTGCCCTGTGTGACTTAGATTTAAGTTTAAATCTGTATTTGTTCACAGAGGTGGTGTTCAAATGCTGTTAGTTGGTGTAGAAACAATTTAAATTCAAATGTATCCTACATGCAACAGCATAGCTGGACTTCACAAACAAAATGTGCTAAAGAAGCCAAACCAATGAATCACTTTATATAGGACAAAGCACTGCACACTAATCTGTAGGTTTATTCAGTCTGTGACAATTTATCATATGCATTAGATACACTTTCTGTAGGTAAGTTATACTTCAATGAATGCTAATAAAGTACCAAATAGAGACACAGAAACACATAACTGTTAACAGATTATTTCTCCATTAACACCCTTAGGAATAACTTCTCTGCTATCTTCCAAAGTTAATTTTAGAAAACAATACACTTGAATATATATGCCAGTATGTGTATCTATTAACTTGGGGACATCTATCCACTCTTCAGAATTAATATCGCTCATTCTCTCTCTCTCCTCTCTCTCTCTCTCTCTCTCTCTCGTGTGTGTGTGTGTGTGTGTGTGTGTGTGTGTGTAAGAAAATATTTTTCACCTGCTGCACTGTGGTGCTGTTTCTGGAACATTAAGAATGTTAGGTTAACCATCAGTGCTGTCTGAAACTATCCCCTGGAGAAACAAAATGTGTCTCACACTGCCAAAAGCAAAAGTAAAACATTCACAGACCTTTTCCTTGTCTTGCTTTTAGCCATTTCAACAGAGACTTTTGTGTTTTGTTTAGTTATTGTTCCCTTTGCTGTGGTGAAATAATTATCGATAAATGTGACCTGTTCTAAAATGTTTAAGAGCGAGGGGCTGTGTGTGTGTGTGTATGTGTGTGTGTGTGTGCGCACGCACGTGCATGCACAACTATGCATTCTGGGGTGTCTCCTCTTATGTTTATAGGAAAAGGCCTTCAGAAATTATTGTTTTCCCCATAAAATGTTCTGATTCTGAGCATGGGGACCAGGTAATGTTTTGCTGACAACTCCAAGATGTAATTTACTGGAAAGTGGAAGCAAGATGTATTTTATTTAGTGCAATAATTCTTTGTCCACTATCAGAATGCAGAAGTGAGCAACCTTTCAGGGTATAGGTAAGGATTTACCCTTAAAATTCACATTTGCTAATGGGATGATCATTCACCAGAGTTGCTTTTTCAAAAATATGCTTAAAATATGTCTGAGTACTGTTCCAGTTTTTTGTCTAGCTTAATCTTTTTCTTTGCTTTATCAGACACATTTAGATTTAATATGACTGCACCACAGATGATACAACTCTACAGATCTAAATTATCAGAAGAATATAAAAGATTGGAAAAAACTTCAGTTTTTGAAGTTATGGCATGTCATACCAGTCTGGTTTTGATTAAGGCTACCAGTTTTCTAGGAATTGTGGTTTTCGTCAAATGCTTGCAGAAGGCACTGATTGGGGCTCTGGCTGGAGCTCTGGTTTGCTTTCAGAAAACTGCAGAAATACTCTTTGATGTCACTTGTGCAAATGCATTAACACATCAGGGTAGGGTCAGTGAGGGTGTGCTTATGCATTGGGCATCCATTAGAGCCTGTTACTATCAAACACAAAGGCATGAGCAGGTAAACTCTTTGTGAATGAACATAATTCATATTTGTATGTTCTAGTGCCTTCTCTAAACATTGTAGGTCATACCTCAGCCGGTCTGTGTTTATATTGAACAGATTCTTTGTGGGTTACATGGGATTGTTTTCATTTCTCTTTTAGTCTTTAATACAAATTTCACATCCTTTAGACATATCAAGACTTTTCTTTGATTTTCAGCAGCTAACGAACATTGCTAATTGTATGACTCTTCTCTTCCAGTGTGATCGGTGGAAAGATTTGGTACACATGTATTTTCCCCGGCATTTTTCATTTCCAGCTTGAGTGTAGCATTAACTTTCTGTCTTGCCAGTCCTCTAACTTTGTATTTGGTCTTGTAGATACGGTTCAAGAACTCCTGTGTCAGATGACGCAGAGTAAGTGGTCTTGTATTCATAGGATTACATTAATTACTAGCCTAAAGTGCATGCTTTCAGTACTCACCACTAATTGAAATGCTGCCGATGCCGCAGAGAGCTGAATGGCTAGCTGACTTCTGCAGCAAAGCACTTGAACTTGGAATGCACAACATATGTTCTGTGCAGGGAAGATGAATGCAAAAGTAACTTAAGCGTGATCCTAATATGCAGTTGCTGCTTCAGACTTAACATTTGCTTCTCATAGACTGTGCATGTTAAAGTTGTTCTCCTTATGGTTTGGACGTTGGTACCCCTCCTGAGCCATGGAATCACCGAAAGGTATTCAGATTTGTGCATTTAATTTTTGATATGTTGGGGCTTAGAGTTAACAATGAAGTAGTCACTGCCATCGTCACATTTTTTAAAATGAAGAAAATAAATCTTAAACCACTAATTATGGATTCAGAAGCCCACGTTCCTCCCAGGTTGGAATCATATAAACTGTGGGACACTTGAGACCAAAACATTGGGGTTTTGTTCAAGTTCTTTGACATAGCAAGGGGTCGAGGATATAAAACATGACTTGCGCTTCCAATCCTGGCTACTTGCTATTCACTCGTCTCCTCTCGTAGATTTACCCTCTAGCCATGCACTCATATCCAAATTCCACACCTCTCATATGTGACCACATTAAATCTGCTTCAAAAATGGATTTCCCATGTGCAGATCATTCTGCAACTGACATACAAACCGAAAGTTTTCTTTGGAGAATACCAGCCTTCTCAGCTTTGAGTAATTTGTGTTTTAAGAAACTGGATTAGTAATTACTTCCAGTTTCAGTGGTCTGCTGAGCCTGATATCTCTCTTCTACAACAGGCTTCTTTTTGCCTGTCCTCTGTCTGAGCCATAGTTTCCAGGTCAGAGTGAAGTACTTATATAAAAAGTGTGTAGAATCCACAAATGCTATTTCCACTGAGGACATCACATGAAACCCTCAAAAATTAAGTCTTTTCACATTGTGCTTTTTCCATGGCACATTCAAGATGGCAGCTGACTTTGGTCCCCTGGCCCACGCAGTCAGGTTCCATTGCCAAGTTCCAGTGAGTGATCTCGGGCTGCTAATTATCTATATACAGAGTGCTCACATCTCAAAACCAAATTCAGCTGGAGCTTGCCTGACTGCTCAGAATAAGGTCGTCTGTAAAACTGAGCCCCAGTTATTCCTTTTAAAACTTGCAGCCACAATATTTAACACTTGTTGAGAGGAGAATCAGATGAGATTGATAGGCAAAACACTACTTTGATTTGGTGAGCAAAAACATTTTGATGGAATGGATTTATTCCTCATCAGTACAAAGCTGCTGTGCAACCTGACTAAAACAGATCTCTGAGAAACCCTACTGGGTGGAAAAAAGAAGCTACAGTCAAGAGTGTTTGGCTTTGGCACACGTGAAAATGAAACCTCTCCTCAGCAAACACCGTTTTTTACAAGTGTTTTGGGGTGGTGGAGAGGCTCCTTTCTCTTCTCTAAGTTTACAAAAATCAGCCCCATGGACCAAGAAGAGTTAAAGGAACTTCTTTCTCAGAGGTCTTATCTGGGACTGTCCAAAATACCCAATTTCCTGCTTAGAGTAGACATAAATTACAAAAAGCCATGTGAGGAGCAAAATGAAAAGCTATTATCAGAAGTTAATTTATTAAATAGAAAGGTGTGTACTATTTTTAGTTTATTTCCCCACTCTCTTCCTTTTTTCAAAATATTTAAAGGCAATTATTATTACTGGCTATATTTATTAATAGTTGACACATTCTTCAATTTGAAGAATTCTACAGCCCAATCAAAAAAAGATGCTTTTGAAGGAGAATATAGGTCAAGGGCAGACCTACCACACAGGCAGACAGAAATTTCCATTCCTCTCCAGCCAGAAATGTCCCTGTGGATTTCACTTCACCTCCTCGCCCTTTCTTGACTTGTGCATTCCTCTTCAGCCAATATTCTCCTTACCAAAGAATCTGCACCTTGGTACAGCTTGAGGCCATTTTGTTTTGAATTCCCTTCCTTTACCCTTGGCCAAGAAACAATTTCCAAAGGTCCTTTGAGGAAATTTGTTCTCATTGCTCAAAAATGGTAGCCTACCCCCAAGAGAGTCCTGAGTTCTTGTCCCAGCAGCCCAGGGGCATACGTGTTGGTGCTGAGAAGCGCGGGTATTGTCTAAGTCACACTAGACTATTCCAGAAGCTGGGCTTGCAGGTCTCCTCCACCCATACCCTGTCCCCAGACCCATACTTCTTCATTTGAGGGGCTGAGTCCAACCTCTGAACCAGAGGACATTTCTAAACGGTGATTCAGTTCATTTTCTGTCAAGTATTGTCAATTCTCAACTTTCTCGGTTCCTCATTTTTGAAAGGATACACAGATATCACATAATTTTGTTATTTCTTTTTTGGCCAGTTTGCTGATACTTCTTTAAATTTTTTTTTGCGGGGGAATAATACTTCCTAGTGTAAGAGAGGGCAAACAAGAGTTTCTCTTTTTGCTTTTTAACCAGCATTTGGCCTCATTTAGGCTGAGGTAGTCAGAGCTTCACAGAAAGGCAATTCTGAGGGCCTGCTCCTGGCTCTCCATGCCCTTTTAGGGAGAGAGCCAAATCTTGGATCTTGGAGAAGGCTGCCATTCCCATCTGGGATTTGAGACGAAGACTTGGCTCCATGGCTGATTACTGTGGCCTAAACCAAAATTCTGGCCTTTAGGAATTATAAATGCTCAACACTTGGTGGATTATATAAGAATCTTCTAACCTTGGTGGCTCAGAGCTAAAGGTTTTTATCTTCTAAGGTCTTAGCAGAGATTGTAAATTTCCTTAAAACATAAGTGACTGGATTGGGTATTTTAAAGGTAAGGTTTTTTGTTTTTCTCTTTTAACTGTGAGAGGAAGAGTGGAATAGATTTTGATCTTCTAGGAGGCCTGCTGAGATGAACATGGGTTTGACTTTTCTACCCAAACCTGTAAATTCCTAAGTCTTTCTTAACCAACAATAAATAGTATAAAATAGGATAGAAATCATAGGCCTTCTTCCCTTTGGGGGAGCATAGTTTATTTTTGCTGGAAGGCACAGCTGCTGAAATCAACACTACCCACTGAGTAGGTGGCAGCAGCTTCGTGTGGTGCCAATAGAAGGCTCAGATAAAAATCCATCTGTACAATTGGATTGTTAGAATGCTCTTGGGGCTGGGGATTTAGCTCAGTGGTTCTACCACTGCCTCGCAAGTGCAAAGTCCTGAGTTTGATCCCCAGTACAAAAAAAAAATGAATGATCTTGGGAAAGAGCGATTACAAGGACAATCTTTTAATTTTATTTTTCTAAAGTCAGACTTAAATTGTACAACATCTGGAGGAAGGGGAGACATGTGAACCATTCATGCAGATTTGTTCTGAGTGGGTTGCAGCGAGGGGGAGCAGGCATTGCCTGGGGGGTGGTGATCTCCATACAGAGCTGTCTGCCAAAGAGCCTGCTGCACCCACCCCACTGCTGCTGTTCAGTGTCTGGCCATGGTGATCACTGGTGATGTCTGGAATTAGCTGCTGTCCTAGCGCATGGCTTTTTTTTTTTTTTTTTTTTTCTGTCTCTGTGTTAAGCTGGCTTCCAAAATGGACTATTGCTGCTCTCCATACCAAGTGGCTAATAGTAAACTTTTAAAGGGTCTCCATTTCTTGATTTTTGGACTGTGTAGTCCACTTGGTCCCAGAACTTGGAGAAAGAAGGAAAGGAAAGGAAACGAAACGAAAGGAAAGGAAAGGAGGGGGCGAGAGACAGAGAGACAGACAGACAGACAGAAAGAGGAAGAGGAGATGAGAAGGGGAAGATTTTGCGCTTTGGTTTCTAATTGTGTTCATGTTGCGGCCTCAGCTCTTGCGGTAGCAGAGGTCAATGCAAGCATCTCTGGTCTTACTCAACATTTAATAAGCTCCTATAGAATATTAATTGCACGTACAACCTAAGAGCTTTTTGAAAATTGCTTTCCTTATCTTTTTTCATTTTAAAAGAATAAAGTCAGAGGTATCTTGGCAAAAATAAACTAAAACGATTAGTATCTTAGGACATGGATTATATACTGATCTATATATATTATTCCTTGCTCTTATTATAAAATACCTTATTTTCTTGATTCCAAGATACCTTCAAAGGTACTGTTAATGTCAGTTTTACAGGAAATAAAAGGAATAACTACATCAAACATATACATCATCAGTTCTACCGTTCAGGATAATCTGATAGTTATTGGATGCATCTAAAGCTCACCGGACAAATATGAAACAGTAGGTGTCTTAAGCCTGAGGCCCTATGTTGGAAAATTGGAAAATTACAGAAAGTGCCTTCGTTAGTGTAGGAAGCATTCAAGCCACCTCTTTTTACAAAGAAACATTTACGGCAATAAAGTTCCACTTCGTGGAACGCTGCCCCCCCCCACTGCCCCACAAATTCTCCCTCAAGCTTTATATCTATACCTTTTCATTCTCGTTTTAAAATAATTTCTATCCGAGAGGAGCCCAGAACTTCGAATACCTTTCAGAGTTCTTCTTTGGCACCAACATACAAAATGACCCGTGCAGGGGCAGCTCCGAAGACAAAGGCACCTTCGCAGCAGCAGGCCGCTAGGTTGCAGGAGGAGGGAGGGAGGCCGCTTCCAGCGCGGTGGCGCCCCCAGGCGGCAGAGCGCGCGCGGAGCAGGGACGAGCGCTGATCTCCCTGGCTTTTTGTTTTTGCTCTCGGCGCTCAGGAGCACGAGTATGTTTGACATGCGGTGCGAGGAGGAGGCCGCGGTGCTGCCGCACAGCAGGGCCCGTCAGGAGCAGCTGCAGCTGATAAATAACCAGCTGAGGGAAGAGGACGACAAGTGGCAAGACGTGAGTTTCGGCCAAGGCCGCGCGCGCGGGCAGCGGGGAGGTGACTCCCAGCCTCAAACCCGACCCGGTGGGTGGACTTGGGCTCTAGAGCCCGACGGGGAAGAGCGTCCTTCGAGGATCCCACCTGCGACGCGGTGAAAGCGGTGGCAGCAACGTGAGTGTGAGGGAAGCCTTCCCAAAAGCTTGGCTACCGGGAGGGAGGAGCGAGAGGCTGGAGACTGGAGTGGTCGCAGAGTTAGACGGGCGCTGTCTTGGGATTCTGTGTTTGAGGAAGAGGAGGGTGGTGGTGGTGAAGACACAGCAGGCGCCAACCCCGAAGCTGTACCTGTACCAGGCGGTGTGCCAAGTGCTGTGCCCGTGATGGCTCATTCACCGCTCTTAGTAACCCAGTGAAGTACAACCTGTCACCATCCCTAGTGCCACACGCGAGTCCCGGGCCAGCAAAGTCACTTACTTGCCCACAGTCACGCAGCCCAAGTCACAGAGCCAGGATTCAAACCAGGGAAGGAGGGTGGAAGAGGCTGCCGGAGGCTTTGTGATTAGTGTGTGCTGGGAACAAGAGCTAGGTCTGGGAAATAACGAAGTTGGGGATGGGGGGCAGCGTACATCATTTTATTTAATCCTCAGAGAGCACTCCGAGGTAGCTATGGTGAACCTGATGCTACCATTAGCCGAAGTAGTTAACTTCTCCAAAGTCGATAAAATACAGTCGTTACAAGTGTGGCTACGATATATTGAGTGCTTACTCGGTGCCTGGCATGATCACATTTAAACCTACAGACTTACTAGCAGAGGTGCCGTTTATCATCCCCACTTTAGAGGTGAGGAATCTGAGGAGCAGAGAGGCTGAGAAACACCCCTGAGTTTCCAGAACATGGAAAAGATAGTGCAGAGTTATTTCCTACAGCTGCGGTCTCCTGCGTCTGACCCCAGAGTCCTCATTGTTCACACTGTCCTGTAACTACCTGTCCAATTTGTGGTGAGGTTGTTCTAAAGATCACGTGAATTCGTGGGTCTATAGGACCCCAGGTTTTTTCTGCTTTTGCTGCTAAGAGGAAAGTGTACATTACTCCCTGCCATTATATCATTAGCGAATCTACTTATAAGGCCAAGATTACACACAGGAGAAAATGAAGTTTCCTACAATTGTCCTGTGAAAGGTCTCTAAAATTTGCCAAGTGACATAAAATTTAATTGCATATTTCCACACTGCCATGTTTTTTTTTAATGCCGCCCTGCTATATCTTGTGTGGATAATATTTGAATATTTCCTGCCTTTGAGGCATCCTGTGTTAAGCAGAGTTACACTGGATTGTATGGTGGCACCCTCACACCAAGCCTCCCCACTTCCTCAGGATTCACTAAGCTCTAAATCGTGTCCCCCTCCCCCAGGACCTGGCTCGTTGGAAGAGTCGGAGAAGAAGTGCTTCTCAGGACTTAATCAAGAAAGAGGAAGAAAGGAAAAAAATGGAGAAGTTATTGGCTGGAGAAGATGGGAAAAGTGAACGAAGGAAAAGCATCAAAACCTACAGAGAAATCGTCCAAGAAAAGTGGGTCCTTTCTGTTGCTTTTAATGTGTGATATCTAGACGTGCTTTTCCTTATAAATGTTGGTGATCACAGAAGCTCTAATACCAGCATCTTCCATTCGTGGTTCAACCTTATCGTTGTTCCCCACCCTCTAGGGAGCGGAGAGAGAGAGAGCTGCATGAGGCCTATAAGAACGCGAGGTCCCAGGAAGAGGCGGAGGGGATCCTTCAGCAGTACATCGAGAGGTTCACAATCAGTGAGGCTGTCCTTGAACGCTTGGAGATGCCAAAAATTTTGGAAAGAAGCCATTCAACAGAGCCAAACTTATCCTCCTTCCTGAATGACCCCAGCCCTATGAAGTATCTGCGGCAACAGTCACTGCCTCCGCCCAAATTCACTGCCACCGTTGAAACCACCATTGCTCGTGCCAGTGGTCCGGATACCAACGTGTCAGTAGACAGTGGGTCTCCAAGCAAAACTGTCACTCCCAAAGCAGTGCCTATGCTGACCCCCAAGCCTTACTCCCAGCCCAAAAACTCCCAAGAGGTTCTGAAGACCTTTAAGGTAGGAGAAGTTCTTTAAGAGTAGAACCAAAACTGAACTCCAGGTGATCAATGGGAAGAAGCATCCTGGCTCAAGAAAATACAATTACTTTTACCAAACAAAAACCAAATATGCTAACATTTGTAATTGCTCATTTTTGGGTCCCCAGAGATTTGGTCTGTAAATACTTAAGATGATCCTTAGTCTCTGTCCTTAATACTACTGGACCCCAGTGAGGTGACACTGAGTCATCTCCACAAGCAAGGTCAGTTCCCTAGTGTGACCTAATGGCATGGTCCCTGTACAGCAGTGGGGAGAAACCCTACTTTACTAACACCCTGGTATCTTCTGCTCTCTGGAGGTATGGCAAATTCCTCCAAACAAACTTCTAAATACTTACGTTTTTCATAGAAATATGTGCAGCTACATCTCTTTCAGAAGATATCAACATTATACCCAAAAAGATGTTACAATTAGAAAAAAAGTACAAGGAACACATGTGAACATGGGATGTGCTTGGGCCTCAGATGAGAACCAAGGTTTTTATCTTAACTAGAAACAGACTAGCTTGTTTTACCAGTGAATATGTAAAAGTAATGTTCCAGAATCAAAGAACCTTTGACAACCAAACATCTTTTCACATCCTCACATGCCAGTATTTTCTCTCCTACGGTGAGAAACATTTATCCTTTGTCATAAGCTCTTTTGACTTCAAAGAAAAATCGATTTTCATTGTCCTTGCAGATCACATGAGTTTGTAATAGAAGACAGACGTGGAATTCATTTTGTTAGATGTGACAGTTATGACTGTAAGAAGTTTATGTAGCTCAACTGATAGAGCAGCATGATGCTGTATATCTTCTTAAGTGAGTTTCACAGGGAATCAAACAATACTTTCTGACTTTTACTTGAGTAATTCTGAATGGATCCTAAAAACCTGTTCCTTAAGCTTTAATAGGGTTGAAAAAATATTCCAGCTGTCTCATCTGAATTGAACTGCAATGTTTGTCTCTGTAAGGAAAGGGGCTATGTTTTTAACTAATCACAACTTCATCCTAAGAGCCTGGCACTTGTGCCAAGGACATGGTAGGCATTGCATTTAGTGAATAAACAAATGGAATTTTTCCTGAGAAGATGAGTTGTGAGCTATGCAGACTTGTGCACACACATATATGCATGCCTAATGTGCTCAGTGGTCCACCTTAGGATTTAACTACTTTGTTGTACCTGGGACCTATGACAATGAGTGTTGCGTGGCATCCAACCAAGGAAAGCTGTATATTGCAGTGACCCTGAACAAGGTAGGGGGTACCTCTATTTAACTGAGTATCTAAGGTATCCAATCATATCATTTAGATATCCACTTCCCTTTCTTTATGTGAAGAGTACAGTGTGATCATTTATATACAAGAGGTATAATAGATGACTTTATAAAGCCCAGACTCAAGAAACCTCTGTCCTTCTGCATGGGTACTAGATGGTATAAAGACCTTAGGAGACCATCTTTGTGGGGAGAGGTGTTGGAAACTTGAGTTACAGATCTTCTTAGAGCTGGAGTTCCCACTTGCCTAGTGGTTTTCTCCTGGACTCATCATTGGCCTTGGTGGCTGTCACTTCAGTTGATAGCCTGTAACACCATCATTGAGTGGGTGAATGACCAGCTGTGGTCAAAGGTAATAGGTAAATAGGACAGTAGTTAGCAGAAAATGCCAAGAAGGATGCTGAGGGAAGAGTATGCATGCGTGTGTTCCTTGCGGGAAGGGGAAGGCAGTAAATACTGTACAAGCTAGTTATTTCACCAATACAACAGAATTAAGAGTAAAGAAAGTACTGACATGAAGTGCATGACTATAGTTCCAGCTGCTTGAAGGCTGAGGCAGGGGGATTGCTTGAACATGAGAATTCAGGACAAGCCTGGACAATACTGGAAGACCCTCATCTCAAAATAAAATAAAATAAATTATCTATAGTATTTTTTTAAGTTTAAACCAGTAATTTTCAAAATAAGAGTTGCCACCAGTTGCTACATTATTAAGTCAATTTAGTGGTTCACAGTCAGCATTTTTTTTAATGAAGTAGAATAGTATATTATAGAAAACAGCATAGCGACCATACACGATAAGGGTATATATTGTCTTGGGAAATTTGTTTTAGGAATGTGTTTTGAGTTGTGATTTTAAAAGTTCTATGGGTAACAAATAATAGAGTATGAAAAGCCAGTGGCACAGGATAAATAAATGATAACTGATTCCTAGGCTTCCATTATTTCTTCTGCAAGATTTTCGATGGTACAATAATAGCTAATACCTAAATTCCTAACGTGTCAGATTCTGTTCTAAACTCTCCACATATATTAACTCCTGCTAACAAAAACAATCCCCAGAACAGCACTATGAGGAAAATATGACTCAGTTACATTTTGCACTCGAGCACAGAGGAAAGCAGTGCTTTCCAGAGATCGTATGACTGCTAGTGGTAGAGTTGGGATTTGATCTTAGGTCGGCTCGTGGCAGAGTTTGCTCTTGTAATCACCGAACAGTCTGCCTCACCCTTCAAGCGGAATTTTCTAGATGCCTACCTAGGCTAGCCACACTCTCTGCTCCACGTGCCTTGCTCTCACCTCCTTCCCTGGACCTGAGTGGAAACAAAAATATTTGATGGGCATGCTTTTTATTCTTGGAGAAACTGGGGTATAAAATTAACTAGAAAAGGGGATTTATTGTGACATGGCATAGTGTCAGATCCCCTGCCCTCCACAATAGCTTCAAAGAAAGTCCCACTGCCTCCTCTATTTGGTAAAGTCCAAATTTTGGAAGAGCAGTCAGAACCTAAATGAAAAATTGCAGCCACCTAAATATGTGGCATGTGTTTGTGTTTAGAATTTCTTAGTTTTCTATACTTGAAAATAAAAGCACACCATAAGTCAGGTGAACAGAAAGCATAATCTAATGGTAAAGTAGCCAAATAGCCTTTTAAAGAGTCCCTTAAAGAAGGCATTTATAGAAGCCCTGACTTCTAAACCCATGAAAACATTTGAGAGAGCTCACTCTTTGTCGGACTTTAATTATTTAACAGTAATTCTCTTAGATAAATCTGGACGTGTCACTTTGTCACTGTCTTTGGTTGCAGAATAGCATTTTTTTTTGTCCATTCTGGCTTTTACAGGTAGATGGGAAAGTCAGCATGAATGGAGAGACAGTCCACGGAGATGAGGAGGAAAAAGAAAAAGAGAATTCCACAGTGGAACCCGGCCTCTCCTTAACCAGATCCCAGATGTTTGAAGGGGTGGCCAGAGTACACGGGTCCTCAGTGGAGGTGAAACAAGACAAGAACAGCATTGAGATCAACATCAAGAAGCCAAATTCTCTTCCCCGGGAGCTGACAGTAAGAACCAAACATTTTCCCCCTCTTTGGGATAATTGATTTATGGAAGAATATAGTTTAAAAAATAAATATGGTGTGTCGACGATCCATTCTTCTGTGTGGAATATTAGTTTGCTAGAGCTGTCCTAACAAAGGACCACACACTGAGTGGCTAGACAAAGGAATTATTTCTTTGTCCTAGTGGCTAGATACAAAGCCAGGAGTTGGGAGGTTGGTTCCTTCTGCTGGCTGTGAGGGAGGATCTGTACCTTGCCTCTCTCCTAGCTGCTGGCAATCCTGACATTCTGTGGCATGTGGTGGGTCATCCTGATCTCTAGCTCCATCATCCTAAATTGTGCTCCCTGTACACATGTCTGTAGGCAAAATTTCCCTTTTCTGAGGACCCCTACTCCAGGATGACCTTATTTTAACAATGACATCTGTAACAACCCTGTTTCCAAATAAGTCCACATTCTGAGATATTGGGGACTTTGGGGAGAAAGTCAAACCATAACAATGAACTGTAACCAAAGATAATATATTTTGTGAACAAAGCCCAACTCTTTCAAATCTTCATATTATTGCTTTCTGGTGTTGCAGAAAAATTAATCTTTATGGCGCTTTTTTCTTTCGGTTTGGTCAAGGCCTCATTAGACTTGCTAATACAATTTGAAAATAACTGATACTAACAGAACCCGACTTTCCATCTTTGATGATATGTATAAAATGACCTTTTTCTTACCAGTTAAAAAAGACAAGATTAATTAGAAGACAAACTAATTTTATTAGCTTAACCCTTTAAATTCAGAGTAACTTAAGCATTAAAGGATGTTGCATCACCAGGTTGAAAAAGGGAAAGGTAACTGAAGAACAGAGAGAAGAGAACTCTAACATAACATCCAGAATTACTCATGCTGGTTTATTGATCAAACCAAAAGCGTTGCTACCACAGACACAGCCCAGCTCCTGTAGTGAGGCTGGACTCTAGCCTCCCTTGTGTTCAACAGAGGCCGAGTTTCTGCTGTTTTAATTTCCAGCATTTGGGTGTGTATTTTGGGTGAAGGATGGGGAAGATGCTGAGATTTCTCCTCCAGCACTTTGAAAAATTTGGTCCACAAAGAGAATTGTCATCCCGTTCCAGAGCTGAACGTTATAGGTGACCCAGCAAGCTAAAACCCACCCAGCGGACAGGTCGTTATTTTTCTTATCTCTGGATTTGCCATTTGAAGAATAAAATTGTGGTTTTTAGAGAAGTTAAGAGGATGTAATCTTCCTCACAGAGCCCGATGCTCTGTGAAAGAAGGTCAAATGGAAAGAAAGCCAAATTCCTCACCATGGTAGCGTGTTTCCTGGTCTCGAGGAGCAATGTTTTGTGCTCCAATCAAATGTTGGGTCTCTTCCCCTCAACTGCAATTTTACTTTTACATTTTTATAAATCTGACTACCTCTGAAGAGTCCTTACAGATTATCATGAGATTGAATATTGAGTTCTGCGAATAGTAATTTAACTGGTAGAGTAAGCATTAATTTCTGCTCTTAAATTTAAACTAGAAGTCCCCTAAATTAATCAGATATTACAGGGGTGGAATTGCTTTTCTAAGTCAGTAATTCTGATCTTATTTCATTTTTTGCCATACTTCCTTTGAGCATTTTCTAAATTCCCTTCATTAAAAAAATTATACCAGGCACAGTGCCATTCACTTGTAATCCCAGCTACTCAGGAGGCAGAGACAGGAACATCCCAAGTGCAAAGACCAGCCTGGCCAATTTAGGAGCAAAATTCAAAAATTTGGGAAATATAGTTCAGTGGTAGAGTGCTTATTTAGTATGCACAAAGCCCTGGGTTCAATTCCTAGGACTTAATGAAAATAAAAAAGATTTCATAGTGATTACATATCGCCCAAAGTATCTTAAGAAAAGCAGAATTCCATAATCTGAAAGGATTTGTGTTATTTCAGAAGTGTACACATTATCACTATCGCTCCAAACAAAAGATGGCTATTTAGACATTCTTCCTGAGGACTAGGATGGGCAGCTTCAGGATGCCAGCCTAAGCTCATGGAAAAGCCCAGGAGTCCCTCCTCCTGTGAACTCTTCCTCGGAACACTTGCCAGGTTCACAGTCTCCTATAGCTCAGTAACCCTAATGGTTCTGATGGGTACCGCATAGCTTGTCTGTCCCTGTCTTTAATACCTCAGGCTCTTGAGCTCATGATGGAAGGAGCTATTACATTATTTTCTGGGTTGGTAACTGTCTCCGTCTATCAGACTAGAAGCAAATTTGTCAGCTGTGCTCCATCGACTCGGGTCATTGCTGAAGCACTTCATGCACGCAGCTTAAGAACCCAAAGTTTCCCAATCACGGGGGCTTATCCCAAGAATCACTTTAAAGCAATCACTTTTCCAGTGACCTATTCCTCAATTTACTTCCTTCTCCCTTAGTCCCAGAAAAGCATTCCTTGAGTATGCTACAGCCAATGTATTTCTATTGAAAAAGTGGAATTAATTGGTTATGGCCGACCTATGGTGGCCAATTTGAAATGAGAGGCTGTATTTCAGAGCCTCCTGGGGAAGGATACAAGCATGGACTTGATTTTCTATTTCTAACTCATGTACACAATTCCATGCAGCTGTCAAAGGAATAGTGTTCTTCTTTTTAAATAGTGTCTTTCTTCCAAAAACTGCATTCCCAACTGATATACTCTCTACAGAGGAGTAGCCTCACCCACCACTAAAATGTCACAGTTTCTCTAGGGCGAGCTGGAACTGTTCAAAGGGCATGGCAGAGCAGTAGGCAGGAAGATTAACTCGGAACGTAAGGCAGAGCGACTGAGAAGACAGGCACAATGCCCCCCTGGGGCAGGGGGAGGTAGCAGTGTCAGCCCCTCTGGCTGACAGGACCACTTTTCTGTGACATTATGTCACCCGTTAGTTCCCTTCTACTTCATCTTTCTCACTTGACACTCCTGGGACCATGACTCTCTTCTGGTAGAAATAAATCCCATTTATATTGGGATTTTGTTTTTTAATATTTTGTATCTACCTATCATTCTTGCTGCCCCACCTCTAAGGTGCTGAGATTGTGACAGCCGCTACCCTGGAGATGGGTGGCTGCCCAGTGTGACAAGTAATTGTCTGCTCATAGCTGCTAGGTGTGCCTATTTTCTCGGAAAGAGATTTCAGAAAGTCATAAACTTGCGGGCAAGAAAAATTCTCATAAAGCAACTGGGAAAGTATGTAAAGCAATATATAATTTAATAGATTCTAGAGTAAGGAGGCCAGAGGGATGTGATAGATTGCAAGAACAGGTAAGGTCATTGTAGTTCCGGTGTGGCCTGGGAAGGTGTATGGGACGTAGGTTTTGAAACTTGACAGTAAGAGTAGGGTTTTCATGGGAACGGGGACAGGGAAGCAAGCAATTCCATGTGTTGGGAGTAGCGGGATCAAAGGCACAGGCAGTAGCCAGGCACCCAGGAGAGGACCCCAGGAGGGATGTGATGTGAGTCTAGTGACTTGGTACGGCACGCTCCAGGTAGGAGGTCCCCTCCCTCACGATTATCCATGAGGTAGTTCAGAGTGTTCATTCATTTCTCCATGTAGGAACCTAACACTTTTCTCTGCATTTTAAAATAGACTTTTGTTAGAAATGTCACACCACAAACACAGAGTTGTAGTATACGGGACTGGGGAAGAATTCTGAAGTTCTTCTGATCTGAGGACTCATCTATCTTGTGTCTAAGTAGACTACCAAAGAAATTTTTGCCTCCCTCAGAGCTTTCCTATGTTTCCTTGGTCCCCTGTCTGTTATATTTGTATTTGAATCTCTTCTTTCCTCAGTGGTATGAAAATGATCCTTTCCGAAAATATCCGAAGCACTCCATGCACAAAGTCAAAGATCAAACTCCACCTGAACAAGTGAAGTTTTTTGAGTCTCAGTTTATGCTTTAGTCACTTTCTCATCACTGAGACGCTGTACCCAACACCCACAGTTTAAAGGAGGAGTTTGTTTTGGCTCACATTTGAGAAGTTTCAGTCCATGTTCAGCAAGCTTAAATGCAAGAGCAGCGTGGTGGAAAGGGGCCTGGGTAGAGGAAAGCTGTTCCTGTCGTGGCAGCCAGGAAGCAGAGAGAGAAAAGGGAAGCCCAGGAAGGAGATTACACCTCCAGGTCACGCCCCCCGGGGACCCGCCTCTTCCGCCTAAACCTCACCTCCTAACCCGAAGTCAGCTGTATCCCTCCAAGATTCAATCGCCTTCCAAACACCCTGCCAGGTAGTGCATGAGGCCTTTGGAGGACATCTTGATCTAAACCTTGACATTGATGTCAAGGTGACTTGCAGACCACGGGTGCCCCTAAATTATTTTTAAGATTGTCATCCAACAAATGGAAAAAAAAAAGGTTATAATATATTTTTAAGGAGCGCAAAATGGTGACACAGTGTTAAAAAATTAAAGTAAGATCATCAAAATTACCATATGGAACAATATAAATTCCCTATGAATGAGAGGGATTTCTTGTCATCTTCCTGCTCCATTTGTCAGTTGTCACACTTATATTTCTCTATCCCTGTTGTAATTTGCTAAAAACATTCAGATGTGAAGAGCTTTCTCCAGAAGACAGTTGCCCTTGCAGACACTCACATGATCCTTGCTGCAGCTTTTTATGCTTCTGCTATTGTTCACTCTTTCCCAGTTCTACCTTCCCCCTGCCACTGAGGCTCCCAGGTCTCCCCTTGACAGTGACCCGGCTGTCACTCCGTTACATGATTGTTGATCAGCCCCCTTTGACACACTCGGCCCAAAGGATGGAGCCACCCTGTCACTACTGGACAATACCTTCCACCTGGGTTACCACAATTCTTCCTCACTGACTGATCCAAACTCAGCTTATGGATATGTAAACCACTTTATCTGCTTTTCTCAAGCTAAATAATGAAGTAGGTTTGTTCTTCCAATCTGAAAAAGCCCATGGCCTTCCTCTTGAAAATTCAGCACTTTTGTGTTTTCTGATCCAAGAAAACAATCAGACCCTTCTTGAAGCATTTCACTTTGCAGCAAGAACGGGGTGAAGGCATCTGAGTAGGCGCTGTTTTCTTCACAGCTGAGACCAACTGCAAATTCCTTCTAGATGTCAAATGTCGACAAACATTTTTTTAGAAACTATTTTCTCCTTCTCAGTCATAGATTAAATAGTCTTTAAAAAGGCATTAAACATTTTTTAGACACAGAGCATTTACAGATTTCAACAAGTATTCATTAGAGAAATAAAAAATTAAACCTGGCCCATCTTACCTGGATCAGAGTCTCATATTGGTTTGAAAAATACAGTGCAAGATATAATTTAAGACATAGGGAGCCAGATCTTCTATGAAGCTCTCCTTCCTTCTGGTGGCAACAGGATCTTGGGGGTCTAGAAGTGAAAGAAGAAACACACGTGTAGCTGGGTCCTGAGCCCAAAGCATAATTTCCAGGCTCCTGTTCAGATAAGTTATTTAAGACTGGAACCACCATTCAAGAGTTCCAGAATATTTGCTCAGGAAAGGACCTTGGGCATCACCGTTCCAGCCCTTAGAGGTTAAATGATCAGTCCAAGCTTCCGCAGTGCTACTGGGCTAGAGGTAAGGCCAGCATCTACCCCAGGTCTCAAGAGGCTCTTACTTTCTGCTTCCCAGCTCTAATCTACCCAGCAAGTTGCTGCCCAAGCCAGTCCATTGACAAGGCTCTAGTTAAAAGGTTCGAGTGGCCAGGTAGGTTTTGTGGCTCAACCATGTCCTTCTTGAGTCAGGAAGCTTCCACCTCCTGCCTGTGTCCTCAGGGCTGAGTCTAGCGTCTGGACCAGTCTGGATCCCATTCTGAGTCAACATGAAGCTGACTCCTCGCTTGGTCTCACAGAAACCTTTCTGTGCTCTCCTTCATTCACATGCAGGGATCTGTTTTTATTTACTTGTTTTTATTCTTGAGACATTGTTACCAGTACGTGAAAGCAAGGCCTCTCCTGTGTTTGAGCTATAAGCAGAGGAAAGCATAGAAGGGAAAGTGCATTGTCCAGCAAGTTGCATTGTTTGAAGCAAACCTCTGATTCTATTGGGACAGGTGAAAAATGCCAACTTTGAGCTCATTTCTTTGGGGAACTGATGTGAATACAAAAGTTGCAAGCCCTTCAGGACAGAGAAGGCAGACACAAGTTAATTAAAAAGGCTTTGGAGAGTCCCCTGATTACAGATAGTCTGTGTATATTGCAAAATATAGAAGACTACAGAGACAATATAAACTACCTCTTATTCCAGCCACCCAGAAATTAATATTGGTAAGGTTTTTTAAATTTTTATTAGTACATGTTCACAGAGTGATTACATTCACCATGGGGAGTTGGTATATACACATCTTAATTCTTTTTGCATATCCTCCCTCTTTCTCTTGGTCCCCTGTATATCTTCTTTTGCTCTGTGTACATAGTGTTTAAAAACTGGTTCGTCTTATTGAAATTGTGTTGCTGCTTGCTTTTTCTCTTAGTATGTCCTGAATATTTTGCTAGCAGTAAAACTTATTAGTGTTTAAAAACTTATTGAAATTGTGTTGCTGCTTGCTTTTTCTCTTAGTATGTCCTGAATATTTTGCTAGCAGTACCCTGATTTTGGTGACTGGTGTGCATTTAAACTAAGCTTGAGAGTAGGAGGTCCATAAATAATGCATACTAGGAAAACATTTGTTTTCTGAATATGGATTGTATAGATGGCCCCTAGCCCTTAGCATTTGGGGGTGAGTTTTAAGCAGTCCTGGGAAGTGGATTAAGTCAAGTTGCCTTCTACTCTGAATGATTCCAAGGAGTTACAGTCTTTTGCAGAATAAATAATGGGAAGTAGAGGAAGGAAAGGGAATAGAAAAGGCAGTTTGAATAATTTTAGCAACAAACTTGAAACTCTCAGCTACTCGATGCTTCTTATGGGTCAAAACCTCTGATTCCTGGAGGAGCTCTTAGCAGTTGCTGTGGTTTAGACCTGGGGTATCTTTCAAAAGTCTCATATGTGCAGAGGGTACTTGGATCACGGGGGCACTGTACCCACGGGTGGATTCATCCAGTGGTGAAGTTAGAGGCTGAGTGTGCTAATAGGAGGTGGGGCCCGGCTGGAAGAGGCGGGCCACGGGGAGTGTGACCTGGAAGGGTCCGACTCCCTCCCAGCTCCTTGCTTCTCTCCCTGCTTCTTGGCCACCTTGACATAAGCAGCCTGCTCCACTCTGATTTCTATCATCCCCTCCCTGCCTCGGAGCTGGCTGACCATGGACAGAAACCTCCAAAAACCACGAACCTAAATAAACCTGTCTTCCTTTTGAAGAAGTTGTGGGTGTTAGGTATTGTGTCTCAGCTATGAGAAAAGTGCTACGACAGTGGTGGGTTTGACTTCACATCCAGATGATAAAGTGTGGGGATTATCAGCTGTGGGAAGCATTCCGACCTGCCTGTCTACGAACAGTGTGATCCAGGGAAGTTGTTTAATCTCCCAGGCCTCAGTCTCCTCACCTATACAAAGGGAGCCGCACTGGTACTGTCTTTATGCTTGCTCTGAGGATTAAGGGAAGTTATCTCTGTCAAGTGCCCCAGTGGCCTGACACCTGGTGAATTCAGTAAATATTCCTCAGAGTTATTGCTAATGCCACTAACATTTTACCACATCGAAGGCCAGGATGCAACCTTTAAACCATCATCTCGAGATAAGATGAATTGGGTTGTCCACAGCTCAGTATGTAAGCATTGAGCTGTATAGAAATATATTTAGAAATGTGAGAATTCTTGAAAGTAGAATTTCTCCATTAGTCATGCATAAAAGTACAGTGTAGTAGAATGTATTGTGCTATTAAAATACTCCTTAGTGAAGTAGTTAATGTTGAGGATCTTGTCTTGTTTGCATTATGCATTATGTCTAAAGGGCTTCATGGATCATCTGATGTCATTGATTCCAAATGGCTACTTTCCACATTTTAACATCTCTAAATCAACATTTCTCTTACAATATCACTTGTATTACTTTTAGCAGACAATATGTGTTCTTTATTACTAATACCTACAATGATACAACTTAAAATCAATGGCTTCTTAGATTTAATAAACTATATTCATCTCTTTGTTCATTTTTAGGCTGCAGATCCTTTGGCCCTCTTTTATAGTTAGTTATTTCTAGTCATTGGAAACACCCGTGTTCCCTAGAGGACAATTCATTAATATTTAACTGAAAATTTGTTTCCTGGCCTCAGATAGTTTTCTATAATCTAATCCATTTGAGGAAGAAAGCTAAAAATTTGTATTTCTGCCAGTATTTTCTTTTTTCCTGGGTTTTTTTTGTATTTTGATATTATAAAACTACTATCAGTTATTAATATATCTATATATGTGCACTTTAAATAAAACCCAACTTATTCTTTTGTAATGCTAAACTGGTTGGTCTTTGGTGGTTTGTATAACAGTGTGAATGCACACACACACATAAGTATAACAAAAATAAGACTAATGTTTTCACTCATTAGGTCTTTTAAAGGGATTCAACTCAGGCTTGTTACATTAAAAATTACAGAATACATTAAATAATATCAGCATGATGCTTATTTCCTGCCCATGGTTTTAACAGTACATTTTAACTTAATGTTATATCCTTCTAGGATTGATACATGATTATGTATTGCTAGGAAATTCCCATCTTATTATGAAGATTTCAAGGGCTGGGGATTTAAGCTCAGTGCCTGCCTCGCAAGCACCAGGACCCGAGTTCGATCCCCGGTACCAAAAAAAAAAAAAGATTTCAATATATACCACCTTCCAAAAGAAAAATCACATTTTTTTCAATTGGATGTTATTGTAAAATCTTTAGACTTTTGGAAAGTTGTTGCTTAAAAGATTTTTTGTCTTTAAAAATTCAATGATGGTTTCCACCAATGAGTTTAAGGACTTTTGGTGAGTAGAAATGAAAATTTTGATTTGATTTATGGATTAAATTATATATTTATGGGTCAAGGATTTGGCTCAGTGGTTCCACTGCCTGCCTTGCAAGCACAAGGTCCTGAGTTCAATCCCTGGTACCACAAAAAAAGTTATTTATGAGAGATCAATAAATCCATAGCCTTTTGAGAACCTACGGAGGTATTTTATAAAGTATTTCATAATTCCTTTTCTGAAACCAACCTTACTCTTTATCTAAAAACCTTTCAAAATCTGTGAAATATTTCCTACACACTTTACAAATTTAACTTTAGCCCTTTTCAGGAAACTTCTACTAAAAAACTCAGTAGCCATTGACTTGTTCTTTATGGTTATTGAGGCATTAGCTAGTATTTTATTTAACTTTTATTTACTTACTTTTTAAATCAAGCAACTAGGATAATATCAGGATTTGGCACACATGGAGCACCATAGGGACCAGTTAAAATCTTTAGTAATCGCCTATATGTTGTGGAAAAGGAAAGAAGAACCAGGGAAATAAGAAAGTGAGGAAAAGAGAGTTAGCTTTCCAGTGACAGATGTCATTCGGAGCCCAGGAAGGAAGAGAGAGGTTAACTCTAACCTTAGGACACAAATGAAACCCTACCCCAGATTGAAAGGCCTTGAGGAGCAGGTGAAAGATGACTGTGATTTACGAACTTTGTGGAAAAAAAGGAAGTAAGGAGGAGGGTTAGGGAGAGGGAGCATGAATGTTCTCTTGTCCCCTTTCACAGGATGTCTCTTTCCAAGGCACATAGATGCCCCAGGAAAGCTGCTCGGGAAACCCAAGGAGTGAATACATGTGAGCAGCCCGCCTTGTTGGCCTGAAAGTTACTACTAAGGACAAATCCTTTGCCTTTTTAGAACTTTCAAAAGAATACTACATTCGGGCGGGGGGGTTCTTTTTCAGGCAACCGCTGAGGAAACTGAACGGAACACCCAAGATGATGAAAATGATGAACAAGCAAGAAAAGGAAATGCAGAGTTTGCCTCATCAGGTTTGTTTCATAACAGACTAGTTTGAGGGTAGAGCATGGTACTCTTAAAATACAATGAAAATAAGAGTGAAGAATTTTTCCCTCCCGAATTAATCCCAGAAGTGGGATAGTGCTGCCACTTAGTGGCGGCTGAGGAAAATTCTGACCATGGGTTCAGCGTTGCCATAAAAATAGGAGCCCTGGCTTTTTTGCTGCTGTGTTTTGTCTTTTGAAATCATATCTCCATCATCATAAAAAATTGCACTTCTCCTACAAAACACTATATAATTTAAGGTCATATTTTGACCCACTGTAACCACAATAGATAATATATACACAATAATATATCATAAAAATAGATGCTGAAAAAAGGCTGATGAATTATTTGAAAGAATAAAGCAATGCCACAAACCTGAATGGTGAATATAAATGTGCTGTACTCATTGTTCAGAGGCTTGTCTAATCCTTAAATTATTGTTCTTCAGGGGCTGGGGATTTAGCTCAGCGGTTCAGTGGCCTGCCTTGCAAGAGCAAGGACCCGAGTTCAATCCCCAGTAGCCCCCCAAAATTATTGTTCTTCAATTTTCTGTGAAGTTTTATCGATATTTTAAAAACTTATTTCTTTATTTGCTGACCGTGAAACCTGATTGCTCTTCCAATACCAAATTATTCAGAAGTAGTACTTTCAAATAAATTAAATTTCACTACTACAAATAATAGCATTTTAAAAACTAGACCGTGCCTCCACATGTTGGTATGCCCTCTTTCTGGTGACTTTCCACCCCCTCTACAGTGTGCTGATTACAGACCAGAGGAAGTTTTGTTTTCATTGCTTTATGTATCTCTGTGCCACACCCTTAGCACATCTGCTGAGATACAGAAGGAAGAATCAGGCTGGTGCTCGGTCATGAGGACAGAAATTATCTCTCGGTGACTTTTTTTGTTACCTGGTATTATTCAGATGTAAATAGTGACCCTATTAAGAACTTCTGTCTTCACGTCGCTGGCTTGTTGTATGCTATTGTGAAAGAGCTTGGGGAATTCTGGCATCTTGAGGTCTTTTCTGTCATCCCGCTATAATCTGGCTTTTTACTACCAGCGGTGGACATAGACTGTAAGGTGGGATCCAAAAGTACAGTGGACGTCTAAATTTCAAAGTTTTAAAATTTATTACAATGAAATACAGTTGCCATTGATCCCTCTCAAGCAAATCACCCCTTCCTTCAAGCACACTTATATCCCATTGTGCGTGGCCCTTTTTGCAGCAGTTCTGAATGTTATCGTTGTGTCTACATGAGTTGTGATGAAAAATACAGGCAAGGCTGCTGCTGAGTGCCATCCAACAGGAAGGCAGGCTTGTAAAAACTTTACAGTGTGTCCTCACCCACCTTATTCACCAGATCTCGCTCTGTGCACTGCTGGGAGATTTCTCTTCCCCAAAGTCAAGATGACCATAAAAGTTAAACACTTTGAGTCAAGTCAGGACATCAAGGCGGCCACACCAGCACAACAAAAGACATAAAAGGGCTTCCAGAACTGTTTTGGAAAGTGGCGAGAACGATGGGGTGAGGGTGTTCAAAGTGAGGAGGGGTATTTTGAAGGGGATTAACGTCTTTCACTGTACTGAACTTTGGAAATTAAAGCATCTGCCATATGTTTTAATCGTACCTCCTAAGGGCTTATCGTGGCTTTCTGTGACATTGGTCTTCTGTATGACTTCCTTTTTCTTTTCTCTGTTTCTGGATGTGACCCCCTTTCAGAGTCACAGCATTTTACGACAACTGTGACTCGATGCAGCCCGACCGTGGCCTTTGTAGAATTCTCCTCCAGCCCCCAGCTAAAGAGCGATGTGGCAGAAGAAAAAGATGGGAAGAAGCCGGAAAATGAGATGAGTGGAAAGGTGGAGTTGGTACTGTCCCAAAAGGTGAAGTACAAAGCAGAGCCAAGCAGTTGCCCCAGAGGCTAATGTGGCTTCACAGCGGAACTGGCTGTCACCAGCCCAGTTGTTACGAGTGAAGATTTCTCTCCTAATCTGTTCCCCTATCTTTAATCTATATTTTTTCCTAAAACAAATAACCTACATGTTCATTATAAAGTTTTTAACATATAGAAATATGTGGAAATAAATATAAATATGTAGTAAATATATCAAGTGTATAATATATGTAAATACATTTTTTAAATATACAAACATGTAGAAAAAGAAAATGAGTTACTCAAACCTGCCTCTTTATCCATAATATTTCGTATATATTTTTTCAACATCTTTTAACCCTTCTTTTGAATAAATTTTTATTTTTAAAAACAACACATTTGAGAAAAATGTTATATAAGTTGTAACATGCCTTATGCTTAAGTTTTAGTTTGCTGTATATCAACTTGCTTATTTTCTTTTTAACCTGATAATTTTCTAAGTATTCTCATTCCAATATTTTCCTGCTTTTTAGCAATGATACTTCTGATGCCTCTAGATTTGCGTAGCAAGGAGCTTAGAAAACTATTCTGATATATTATTATTATTCAGATATGTTATGCTGGTTTGTTTCCAGCCACTGATTCTAAAAGTCCTCATTGTTTACCCCAGTTAGTCTCAACCTTGGCTCCCCTCAGATTTTAAAAGCTGCCAGGCCCTCTATGAACCAAATAGATGAGAACCCCTGGAGACAGGGCCTGGGCATCTGTATTTTTTAAGCTTCCAGGTAACTGTCATGGGCCACAAAGAAGGAGAACCTCAGCTTTGCACAACTGGCAAGCTCTACGTGGTGGTACTCCATGTTTAAAAGTCAACCCTGAATTTGGATTTGACTTTAAAGTGAAAGCTTTATTATTTAGTTCCAGTTCATCCATCATTTACTCAGCCAGTAATTCCTTGTGCATCTACTGGGTGTGGGGTACTGTACTTGGATGCTGGATATTCCACAGAGAATGGGACATAGCCCCTGGCTTTAGAGAGCTGAGAGTGACGTGCCCTGGTAAAACCTTGAGAATGTAAAGTGGCGCTTTTCAGTTATTTCAGATCCTAGCTATTCCCCATGTTTAGCCATTGAGAATTAAATAGTCTGGAGATCAGAAAAGGGGAATTAAACTGCAAGTCACACAGTAAATTAGTAGTGGTAGGCAGGATTTTCCACAAGATATATATCCATAAGCTATTTATAGCCAGTATTTATTTCTCTTAAAAACTCATTTTTCCTGGCCAGGGATTTAGTTCAGTGGTGCCACGCCTGCCTCATGAGTGGAAGGTCCTGAGTTCAACCCCCAGTTCCACAAAAAAACTCCAAAAAACTAAAACAAAGCAAAACATCTAAATCTACACTGAAAGGAAAACTTTGTATCACTCCTAAAATATTGTTTTTAATTGATCAAAATGAATATCACAATAAAAATTATTCACAGGCCTTCCCCACAGTGTCCCCTCACTAGTGTCAGCTTCCTCAAACTATGGTGTCACATCTGCCCCACTACGGAAAATATTATTTTCAGGAGTCCTCGTGTTTGTTGTTGGTTTTGTTTTGTTGTTTTGTTCTGCTTGGGGCCTTTGGCCATCTGGTAAACATTATCCTCAGAATAATCTTTTTTCATGATAAAATAAGATACTCAGGATTCCCAAGTTGTCCCTCGTGTCAAGTGACCCAAGTGCTGCACCTACCCCCCTGACTGTGTTGTGTGGACTCCAGGTCAAGAACCTCTGCTAGTTAATGAGCAAATGGAACTTTGTCTTTGAATTGAGTACCTTTCTCATTTCCACTCCAAGAATTTCTCCCCTTTCTCCCTTTCCTATAGCTGGTTCTTAGGTAACCTGACCACAGTGGTTGCAGCAGCTTTTTTTCTCTGATTTCACTTGGCCATATTACCCTTGTAAAACAAAACTCCCACCAACATAGGCTGACGATTTTACATATGGTCATTCTGAGCGTTTCTGCTCAGCCAGGAATGATCTGAATCATGTTTTTGTAAGTCTTACCATGAAAAACATAGTGCATATGAGGTTAAGGTTGGAGGGTTGTCAACTTTGGTAAGACTAGACCTCAGCTTTAGTTGTATGTTTAATACTGAACTTCACTTGGAAATGGTTGACCTCAGTAATGTTGGATGAGGAGGCTATAATTTTAGGGTCAACTGTATTATTAGTAAAGAAGAATCTAAGGAGTGGAAATCCTAACATTAATTTATCCTGAGAACCAAATCATAGATCAGCTTGTTATGAAATAAGCGTTCTATAGCCTCACTCACTCAGAGCATTAGCTACCACGTCGCTCTATCAGCAACACAGTAACCAGTCAGAGAATGAAATCAGTTCGGTTCTCAGAGAAGCTAAGAAGATGGGAACTGATAGCAGCACCACGCTCTCTATTTACACCTGTGTTCAGAGTCTACTGAGTATTGTCATAGACATTGATTAAACCAGCCTGGTAATCTGGTCTTTAGCAGTAGGTTGATTACACACAACACATCCAGGGAAGAGCAATTCTGGAAAAGACTTTAAGCTAAGGAAAACAAAATTAAGTGCCAATAACAAGAAAAATCAATTCTGCAAAGTAAACATAGAAATTGTTAAACCCTGTAACTTTAGAACTACTTACCATGAGGCCAAGTAATCTAACATGTCTTAAAAATTCTTTGAGAGCATTGCTTGATAATAGTTATTTATAATGCTTCTGGGTCAACAGGCAAAGCATATTTTCCTTAATCTGCTTTTTTTTTTCCTCATTGAGTTTATTGGTACATTCTAGGTATACAGTACAGTTACATTCATCATTGGGATCTTGTACCCTTACATGACAGGTCTTTGTTCTCATTTTTCCCCTTACCCCTGCCCTCCCTTTACCTCTTCCCCCTTCCCTATTTACAAAAACTTTATTTCCATTTTCTTCCTTAATCTGCTTTGCATACATTTGTGGTTGGTTGAGTAGTATCTTGAGAATGATATCCATTAAAGGGAATGTTACTTTAGTGTTTAGCACTTTCCAGAGTAGTCATTTTGTAAAAAATTATATGTAAAACATCTCATTTCATAAATTCAGTATTGTATTATAACAGAAAAAGTATATGTGATTGGCTAATCAGTAAGAAAATGAGAGAGTAATATTTTGTTCCAAAAATAGACCATTGTCTTCTGAGTTTGGAGAAAAATGATCAACTCATTATTGTGCTCACTTGATTTCTCTGAAAAATTAACCTCTCTATTGATATAGGAAAGCATGGCTGGGTATTAGGGAATAGGAAAAAACACACTATTTAAAAATTAAATGTTTGAGCTTATTTTTATATTAACCTTAGATCCTCACATTTTCTTTCATCTGTGCATGTATTAGTAGATAGTGTTTATACTCTTTGTGTCTGTTGCCTGTGGTCCAGGTGGTAAAGCCAAAATCCCCAGAACCAGAAGCAACTCTGATGTTTCCATTTCTGGACAAAATGCCTGAAACCAACCAGCTACATTTGCCGAATCTCAATTCTCAAGGTAAAGAGAAAGAAATACTTTATTTTAGGTCCTGTTCTTTATTTTAAAGCATGATTGTATGCTGTATGTTAATGTTCTTTTAGCCATGTTTTTGCCAGAGGTCATGATGGCTGAATTAATAACTTCAAAGTGGAGAGGTAAGGCTATGTTTTCTATTCGACCAGGGCAGGAACCCCAATTGCCATGCCAGGTACTTTATAACAGTAGGCCCTATGTAAGTGCCTAAGACCTTAAAATTTTTTTATATTGGTTTAAGCCAAGAAAGATAAACAAAAATGAAAAAAATCAAAAAAATTTCAAATGTTTCCAATTTTAATATTGTGTCAACTTTATTGTTAATTCTAGTCTTCATAGAATTTCTATTAATTTGACAGTAACTTGGGGGGAAAGTCAGATTTTTACCTAATAATTCTGAAGTGTGCATGATCAGTACTGAGGAATAATTCGCAGCACAGATTGAACATGTTATTAGTAGGCAAAGATTTTAACCTTTCCAAAAATTCTTTACATTAAGAAGTATATGATGCCTGGCATCATGGTGCACACCTGTAATTCCAGCACTCAGGAGCGGAGGCAGGAGGATCACTGCAAGCCAGAGGCCAGCCTGGGCTACATAGTGAGTTCAAGGCCAGCCTGCACCACAAAGTGAAAACCTGTCTAAAAAAAAAAAGTATATGACATTTTAAAAAATATAATTGGTATGTATATTGTATATTTATTCACACTAATACTGAGCAACACTTAATGTGTTGCATATATGTGATATATTTTACTATGTGTGAAGGGATAATTCTAAAAAGAGAGGAAAGGACCAGAGATTTAGCTCAGTGATTCCAGTGCCTGCCTTGCAAGTGTGAGGACACGAGTTCAATCCCCAGTACCAAAAAAAAGAAAAGAGGAATTTAGAGTCCATACATGCTCCATAAAGTAACAGGGACCCCTAAGTACTTTGTAGGCCATATATGAGTTATAATTCACTCCTTTACTATTGAAAACCCCAACATTAGTCCCTTTGTCCTGGTGGGAAACCCTGGTACCTACAGCACCAGAAAGGACCCTTATGAACATGACTAGCAGAGGGAAAGTGGGTCTTGGGAATTCTACTACCTATGGGGATTATTGTCCGACACAGATATATTCCTGGGCTTTATGGGTGCAAGTTCTCAACATGTGGAAACAGCTAGAATTTGGGAAGGCAAGGACTGTAAGCCTTCTTGGTTTTTGTCTTATTATTTTAAGTGTACTTCCCCCAGTACAACCTGTAGATTCCTTAGTCAGGCAGATAGAGAATGGTACAGACCCATCATGACTGGGATTTATTACTTCCCTTTGCAAGGTGGGCAGCTATTTGGGGTCATTATTAGTAATCCCCTTTGTGCAAAGCAGGGAACACTTGAGGGAATTAACTGGTATGTGTACTCATGGTCATTAGTTTCTTGGTACAGTAGAAAACTCAGTACTGTGTCCAAAGAATTTGTTTTAAAAATTTCAGTCCTGCAGTTCCAAAGGGAATTAACTAAAGTCTCACAGGTGGGCCAGCAGTAGGCCATAGGTAGACAGATTTTAATTCTATTTGCCTCTGGTTCCTTGTACTTTTGTAGAGAAAGAAAGTAGAGTAGAAAGAGATATTTTATATCATATTGGTTTTGTGGAGTAGTTGTTGAAATATGCTGTTGAATTAAAGGGCTTTATTTCATGCTTTACTCAAGTTCAATGATTTAAAAAATAAAATGTTGTGGCCCTAGAGCAATTATGGCAAATCTTTCAGAGCTTCTGATCATAACACACAGCCTGCTGCACCACCCATGCCTTAGGTTCACTGCCACTCTCCGAGAGCATTTCAGAGTTCGAAGTCATCTAGTTCTTAGCTGTGTGAGCTTACCCATCCTATTCTTTCTAATGTCTCATTGTCACCTGTAAACCAGAAACCACAACTGTACCATCTGTAGGAGTATTGGAAGTATTCCATGAAGTCATCTTTACAGTGCTTAGCTCAGTACATACGTGGCTCGGAACAAGTGCTGACAGTGGAATCTAGGGATGGTAGAGTACTAACAATAGAAGAAACACAGAGCAAGATACCAGGCAGGAAGAAATAAGCTCTTCCTAAAGGCTTTTCTTTAAGAAAAGAACATCTACCTCATAGAGACACAGCTGTAAGTAGTGGTTTTCAAAGACACATCTGTTCCTGGGCCCTGCAGCACTTGTCTGATTCTCTGGGTCTGGCCAGAGAACAGAGAATTTGTTGCAGTTCTAACAAATTTCCAGGTGCTACTGATTTGGCAGATCCAGAGAACACAGCTTGAAAACCACTAACTTGTACTATTTATTTAAATTGTGCCTCAAAGCCGTCATTGATAGATATGAAAATAACAGTTCGTATCTTGCGGAAGCAAGAGGCCTCTAATAAATGTAATCTTAAATGACATGATTTGTCTTTAATTAGGGTGAGAGTGGGAAGAAGTAATAGGTCTCTGCCTACATAGAAAGTCCCATTGCATTTAAGTGACTAATTTGAAGTCCAGCATCAAGTCCAAAGGAACCAGAGAGTTAGGATCAGAAATCCTGAAGTCACACCTAATAAGCACTGTCTCCCCGAGAAGGTGATCTCTCCCCGATTTCTGCAAAGCTGTCTGTTTACAGTCTGCTCATCCAGGCCATGAACATCTGAACATACACATGCATCAGTAGTCTTGAAACACTCTGAGCGCATTCATAAAATGCATTTAATGATGGTGAGTCTCCTTTCCTCAACTCTCTCACAACAGTAGAATGGTATCTCATGATTGTGTTCCAGTCAAATATGTGCCCACTTTAAAACCTGAATTCTTTATTTGCACTGAGAATGATGGTTTAGCATGCATAGAATTTAAGAATGCAAATGCTTGCCAGAATCTCTGTGCATTTGATGTACCACACACAGACACAGACCACACACACACACACACACACACACACACACACACACACACACAAGGAAACTAGAGACAGAGTTCTTCACATAGCCTTCGTAAATAATAATTAAATCACCGGTGCCTTTTGCACTTTTCTAATATTCCCCAAAAGCAATGTAAACTGTGCACTTTGCTCTTAATAGTATGCTGAGATTGATTTGATAGTTGAACAGTATCACCATAAATATGAATCTGTAGAGTTGCACCTACTACCCAGAAAGATATATAGGTGCCTAAACTGTCCTTGTTCTGTTGACTTGTGTTTGTGTCCCTGGGTTTTGTGTGTGTATATTAGTGAAACATTTGGTACATTACATTCATTGACTCTCAATTCTTGTTTCACTTACACCCAAACCTTCTTGGATATGTGGGGGACATGGTTCTGTTCAGTTTTCACCCTGGTTTCATGGTTTTCTGTTTGTTCTGTTCTGCCATCTGATCTAGAGTCACCTGGCACAGCCAGCGTTCCGCTTAGAGTTCAGAACTCTTGGCGACGTTCCCAGTTTTTCTCCCAGTCAGGTAAACTACATACTGGGTAGCTGCATTTGTTTTGTGCAAAAATCCATGTTGGGGCAACCAATGATGTCTTACATTTGCCTTCATTTCTGATTTCAAGGGGAAAAATGCTTGTACTTGACATACAGTTTGCAAAGAGCTACCATAATTCTTTGATATCGGTACTGGTTGTACCAAATTGGAGGAAATTCATTGAATTTTATGTTGATTTTGAGAATCCAAAGGAACAATACTATTCATCTCTTTCTTTGTTGTTGTTCTCTTCTTTTTTAAGCAAAGATGAAAAGCTTTTTCTAAGAACTGGTAGTTCTCTTGTTAACTGTGTGGCTCTCTATCTTCTTCCTGGATGACACCTGGCCTCTCTGTGTGATACTTCCTTGTGTCAGACGGCGAGGGAACTGCTCGGTCAAGCAGAATGCGGGGGGCATTGAGAACCAGCACCCATAGGGATAGCTGTGGCTTCCTGTAGTGTAGTACCTGGTGCTAATGGTAGTCAATCATTTTACACTGGCCATAACTTCTTTTGGTGATGGGTACAACTTGCTTCAGGGGTCTGCTTTGTTATAATTGTCTAATGCTCTTGATTTACAAAAACAAAATAAAACAAAAAAGAATTGATTTGAAGCTGACATACCAACTACACTGCACTGAGAGAATCACAAAGAAAGACAAGAACTACTCATACTGATATTTTTTTCTTTTATTTTGTATAGTGGATTCTCCAAACAGTGAAAAGTCTCCTCTAACTACACCTGTAAGTAACTCATTTTAAGGAATAAGGCATTCGTTTAGTGTGATTTTAGTTTGTAATGTATTTGATTTTCTTAGAGCATATTCAATCAAAAATAAGATCCAACAGTGGATTTGAGAAAAATAATTTAAAGTAGTGCGTAATTCTTTTGAGCATAGATTATGATAAAGATGTAGATTATCATTATGTGGAGTCATCATCCCTGGGAACAAAATGATGTCAGGAAAGTAAAAGATGAAAGAAGCACTTAAAATGGATGTCATAGTAAGAATTAGTAGGCATTCAAAATCATTTTAATGTAAGAATAACACTTCAACATAGTGTGTTGCTGGCAGACAGGACCTGCCTGGACTTTTTCTAGGAGACCCGCAATGTGTTTGTCATGCCTCCTGTGGCAATCAGTATCTTGAACTATCTTGCTTGTACATATTGCTTTCTTTTTTTTTTAATTTAAATAAGAAACCTTCTGCTAAGAAAAATGTCAAGGCACACAACGCTGTGGAAATCCCATATGGCTGAATTATATCTGAATACTCTGCACTTGTGTTTCTATGCTGACGCTGCTGGGCCTTGTTCATCCTCTAAAATGCCCACTGGGTCTGGGGATGGCCTTCCTCTGTGACACAACCAGCTGCAGCACTGTCCTTGAGCCACCTGGGGGCAGCCATGTAATCACTGTTGTACCTTTGATTCCAGACTTGCTAGGCCTATGCCCTGAAGATACTGTGTAACCTCTCTGCTTTGGTCATTTTTGACTGTACAATGAGATAATAATAGATTTTTTTTCAGGGTTGTTGTGAGCCTTAGTTGTAATAATTATACAGAAGATACAGAATCCTCTAGCATAGTTCCTGATACAGAAACGAATCATCCCTCTCCAGGGGTTAATCCAAGAGGCCCACCAGAGACATTATCAGTTCTCATCTACAAGCAAATTGTCTCACTTTGGGAAGTCCTAAGTGCCTGTACAGATTGGAGAAGGGACCTATCACTTGTCACATAACCCTCAACCTCTCCAACTACAGTTCAGAACTAAGGACCATTTGTGGAAGTTCAGCTGTAAGGCACTGGTCATAGTGGCAGCCACTATGGTGGATGGGAACCGCAGAAGGATCTCAAAGTTGGCATTCATGGCACAGACCTAAAGAGTGTGATGTAACCCATCGATTCCATTTTAAATACATTTGGAACAAGAATGTCAAACTATTCATGTGCCCCCTGGATGGGGGAAGAGAGAAAGAGTACCCCCAAGACAGACATTATCATACCTGGTTTATGGAAAAGAGAGTGAGAAAAAAAACTTTAGTGACTTATATAAGTAAATTCTCTGAAAATACTGCATCCTCCCATGCAAATTTGATGTTTTTTCAACAGGAAATGACCGCTTATAGAATAGAAAGATAACAGAAACTTGAAAATAAGTAAAGTTTGAAGGGGAAGTAAGCATGAGATTGTGGTAACTTCAGCAGACTGTCTATTTCCAGTCAGACTTTGGAGTGGCCCCAGGGACTGAGAAGGCAGGATTGCCATCATCCTGCACAAAGTGATTCCACTGCTTACTTAACAAACACTGAGGACCTAAAATGCAAGCTTTTGGGATATGTAGAGGGGTAAGAGGCATCCCTGTGCCCTTGAGATATCCAGAGCAAGGGGAAGATACAGACCTGCAAAAGGTACAGCGAGGAACAATGTGGGCTGAGTGCTCTCCAGTCCAACTTCTAGCACCTTTTATCTATTCTTGAGGACAGTTATCACACAGTTCTCTGTTGGTCCTGTATATATGGTCACTTTGCCATCTTCTCATGGTCACCTGTACACCCCTCAGCCCATATTTAGCCAACAGTAACTAATCACCAAATCAACCAGTAATCACCAAAGGAAGGAGCTGTGAAGCACTGTTTTCCCCTCTTGTTTATGATGCTGATATTGCCCTCTTTATCTTCTGTGAAGATACCTGTTCTCCCCACAACCCACACACGCACACAAATAGTCTGTTTTTGTGCAGACCCCTCTGTCCTATGCTTCTCTCTCTTGTCTGCCTGTTCTTTACTTACCTTCTTCTTGAGATTCCCACAGTGTTAATCTGAGAATTAAATAGTTCCTAATTGTTTCTCTTATTTCCCATCTATTGGACTTTCCTCCCTATGACTTCATTCACATGAACAGCCCCTTGCCCACAAAGAAGGGCTATGTCTCTGTGAAGGGTTGTCAATATTTAAAACACCTTCAAGTCCTAGGAGAGTTCAGTGGTAGTGGAGTCAACCTCCAATACCATTAAAGTTAGGTAGACTTGCCCATCTGGGTTCTACCTTTGGGTGGCATTTTATGGTCATCCAAGCAATTCTGGGAAACTAGTTTATATACAATAAGTACTCTTCCCTCCTGTAAAATTGGCTTTAGTCTGTAGTATACCAGTATGCAGTGTGAATCTCAAGGGTGGCAGATAGGATGTGTGTTTCCTATCTTACTGTCCTGCTTTTCTTTACCACTGTGTGAACATTATGGCCAGCTCAACCATTTGTAGGAACCACACAAGAGTACAAAATGAAGCCCACATTTCATCTGGCTAAATGTGGATGTATTCAAGTGATAAATATTCATAAAGTTCTAAATCCAGCGTTGCCCATGGCTAGCTGCATGCTCTGCCTGGAGACACATTGTTGGGCAATCCTGCGCTGTGCACCTGTATGGTGGTGATCTTTTGAGGTCAGGGTAGGGTGGAGAGTAGGCTTTTCCCACTACAGCCACCTCTCAGTGTCTGTGTTGAATAGGATCCAAGACTTCCTCTGACACCAAAATCCTTGGATGCTCAAGTCCCTTATATAAAATGGAATAGTATTTGCATTTGACCCCTCATACACCTTCCTATCTACTATAAAACTTTCTTTCTTTCTTTCCTCCTTCCTTCCTTCCCTCCCTCCCTCCCTCCCTCATTCCTTTCCCTCTCCCCCCCCCACCTCTTCTCTCTTTGTGGTGGTGGACATCAAACCCAGGGACAATTATAATCTAGGCAAATGCCCTACCACTGAGTTACACCCCGATCCCTTTTGTGTACTGTCTTCTTGTTTATTCAGTTGGTTCCCAAACTTGAAAGAACCTTCTATTAATATTTTTTTAAGCCTTTGGGTTTGAGTTTTTGCCAGGCTTTTGGATAGTATAGTTGGGTACTGGTGAGTTAACCCAATTTAAGGAGAACTAGTATGGAAAAGCAATGGAATACAAAGAGTTACCTTCTTACAAAATATGTTTGTGCTGAAATAACTGCTCCCCTTGGTTTGGATCTAGGATCAATACACAGAATGAACATATTCTGTTCAGGTGTGTGAATGCAATTACGTTATTACTTCTAACAAAAATGAAGCAAAGCCTTCCCATATCTATGGCTAATTACTCCATATTTTTATTAGTTTTCAAAGAGCTCACAGAATCATGCCAGCATCTTGGGAGTAAACTGAAGAAGGAATAAGATTTTTTAAAATGTTCTGATTCTGGGCATAGTAAGTGGCTCACACCTGTATTCCCAGCAGTCTGGGGGACTGAGTCAGGAGGGTCACAAGTTCAAGCCCAGCCTGGCAACTTAGGGATTTAACAAGATCTTGTCTAAAAATAACTTCAAAAGAAGGGCTGGGGGAAGTGCAAAAGCCTCAGGTTCAATCCCCAGTGCTGGGGGAGAAGAGGCCTATTCCACCAATGAGGGCATTAAGATATGCGAAGGCTTTTGTGTGTCCATCTGGTGCTGTACTGGAGGCTAGGTATCTTGTCTTGCCTGCCCTGCCCTTGGGGATGCAGCTCAATTTTGATCATGGTTTTATTTTTCTCAGCAGTTTAAGTTCTGGGCATGGGATCCAGAAGAAGAGCGGCGGCGACAGGAAAAATGGCAGCAGGAGCAGGAACGTCTGCTTCAGGTAGGACTGGATTGGCTGCTCTTCTCCCACTTTCTTTTGGATGGTGCTCTCCTAGTTTCTGTTGCGTGAAATATATTTTTAGCACAGGAAACAGATGGAATCCATTTCTCAGAACTTGGTGAGTCTTATGAATTCATTTTGTGTACAGGCAACAGAGTATCCTGTATCTAATTCTTCCGGTCAGAAAACACAGTCATGAGCAAGAGGGAAAACTGTTCACATTGACACTTTGAAAAGCTCCCAGTATTAAGAATCAATTTACTCGTTTGTTAACTCTTTAATCGCCAATTTCCATCCCAAGCAAGAGTGACAATGAATGATCCAAAAGCCATTTAATAGCATGTAGGTGGGGATAAAATTTGGCCTCAGTTTGTTACATCTGGCAGGAGGTAGCTGAGGGGGGTTGGGGTCCCCTTTAATGATCCTCCAGCTCTCCTGGAGGATTTGCCCTCTGGTGAAGAATGAAGAAGTGGAGCTCTCACTGGAGAATGGGGGAGTCAAGACTGGTACCATGAGAAACAAAAGTTTATTTAAAGTGTGGCAAATGTAGAGAAAGCAGAAGAGAAGCTATCTTAACTGCAGAGATGCGGTACAAGATAAGGGGCATCCCAGCTGTTTTGTTGACTGGCAAGGGCCGGGCCAATCAGGGTCTTGGCCTTTGTTTCTGGGAAGGGGATGGATCAGTTACACAGTAAATGTGAGTAACATTTTCATAAGGGTCCAGTGGGATATGTTTTCTCAAGTACATGGTTACCCAGATAAGCATGTGATGATGTTACAATTATCAGCCACGGAAACAATCGTCAGTCACATGTGAGCATGTGATGGTTTTATAATGTTAGTCATCTGGGCTTTGTCCTGGCTTCTGGTTTATGTTTCTCTAAATTCCTCTCCATCCCCCTCTGACTCCATCATGCTACTTCTGGAGGGGTGCAGGGCAATGATTTCTCTGGCTGGTTAGGGGTGACATGAGGGCAGGTGATGGTGCTCAGGGAGGGACGATTGAGGTGGCTGGGGTGGATGGAGGCCTTTAGCTCCACAGTGGATTCCGTAGGACCATCTGCACTTTGATAGCATTGCTGCAGTATAGACAGGAGTGCAAGACTGCGTGCTGTCTGCATGTTATTTGTTACGACCCAAAGACCATGTCTCCTCTACTTAAAGGGCCTGGTCTTGTATATAACCCTGTCTAAGGGTCTCAGCTGCCCCTACAAATTCAGTTCCTTAAGTAGAAACATTTGCTCTGTCTTTGAATGAAAGCTGTTAATTATCAACTCTGGAAAAATTCTGGGAGCAAATTTGTCATGCTCCCTATTTGTTCCATGGATTAACAGGGCTTCCAAAAGCAACTAGTAAACTTAGAAACTAAACTATATTGAGTAGTTGGGATGTGCCAGGAACTTCATTTGGTGCTTGATGTATTTAATCTGCGCACAAATCTTCAAAGCATGTCTTTTTCAGCCCATTTGCAATTAAAGGAACTAAGGCTCGAGGAAATTAAATTAATTGCCAAAGTTTTGCACCTGACAGGTATTGAGCTTGGATTTAGATCCAAGTCTGCATGACTGAAAAAACCCGGTCTCTTTTCGCTCTATTCTCAGTAATTACTAAAGTTACAAAAAAAAATCATAAAGGAGAAGAATGTTAGATCTCAATAAGTTGATTACTTTCTGCTACCATGTAGAAAATGATACTTAATGCAAGTTTATTTTACTTACTTTTTCTTTCTCTTTTTTGGGGTGTGGGGGTTCTGATCCTTTTGGCCTAATTCCCAAAAGTTGGGGGTGATTTAGATAATTAATCTTTTTTTTTTTTTTTTGTAGCAGGGATGGAACTCAGGTCATTGTGCATGTGAGGCAGGTGGAAGAACCACTAAATCCCTGGCCCATAGTTGATCAGTTTTAACATGGCTTTAGCTCTTGAGGGTTAGGTCTTCAACACCAAAACGTTAGTGGGAACCTGATTTATCAAGTCCAGAGGCATCAGGACTTTTAGACCAGTCCTGGCCATCTGCTATTATTTTGAATATCAAGTGCATATTTCTCTGCTAAATGGTCAACAGTCAGGAATCACAAATTCCATGGAGTAGCAGAGTGCACATCTCATCATGGTGCTGTGGTGCTCTGAAGGGTGGGCAGGCTTGTACTGAGGCACCAGGCATGCATTGCTCCTGTCCCACTGAAAGGTTACCTGGTACAGTACTGCGGGTTGTTCATAAAGGAGTGTGTGTGTGTGTGTGTGTGTGTGTGTGTGTGTGTGTGTACCAGTGTCACAGACAGCCTGCATCTTTCAGTCCCTGAACTCTCAGATCATTGTCCTGGTGAGGGAGACAGGAAAAGTAAGGGGACTTCCTGGAACCGATAAGCCTGATTAGCTTTACTTGTTTTTTAGATTTTTCTGTAGTCTGGTGGATCTATTTCCTCTATCCCGAAAAGCCCCTGAAGTCCATCTCCAAAACTTTACAATATTCAGTGTTGACAATAAGTTTTCACCTGGTATCAAAGAGCCTCTGCCATTGGTTGAGCAGCAGGGCTTGTGCTAGAACGTTAATTCCGGTGAAGCCCTTTTGCTGCTAGGATAATGTCAGAACGGTGTCCGAGGGGGAAACCCCAGTGCCTGCCTATACAACATGCACAGACCTCTTTTAGCCTCCAGGAGAGGACTTACAATGACCACCCTAAAATAATGGAGGGTGTTCAGGGACCCCTCTGTCATGGTCATGTCAGGAGGCCATTCCCGGGACACCAGGGGTCAGTTCTCATTTCAAGCATTTGTTTTAATCTCCACTCATTCATTTCCTCTAGTCAGCTGTGGAACTCCATTCACATTTATCAGGGACCTTCCTTATTCGGGGTATTTTATTTTCCCCCCAAAAAGTGGTGACTCCTGCTGTACTTTCTGAACATGAGAATGGAGTTCCAATGCAGAAGCATTGTAGAGGGTGTTTGAAAACTGCTCTTAAACATGAGGAAGGAGATGGGTGGAGGGGAGAGAAAAGGGAGTAATGGGGATGAAAATAATTTTTTTAAATGCATCTGCCAATATACCATCATGAATCTCATTATTCTATATACTAACATGCAGTGATTTTTTAAAAAGCTACTATAATTCAAAATTTGCTGTAAGTTGGAAAGGCTTTGTTTTGGTACAGTGGTGAAAAGCAAAGACTAATTCAGCTACTCTGCTGTCATCTTGTCACCTTGGATCTTGCTGTACTGTCTGTACTATAAACCTACAAGGTTTTTAAATCTTTTATTAAACTCTCCTTGGCAGCAATGTATTTCTTTGCTTTTCTTGGGGGAAGTTGGTGTTAGGGGAGCTGGGGATGGAATCCATGGCCTTACACATGCTAGCCAAGAGCTTTACCACTGAACTACACCCCTAGACCAGCAATACATCTCTATTAGTAGAATGGCAAAAACTCACCTCTGAAAGGGTCCAGTTGAACCAATCTATAGATTTAGCCTATGTAGAATAGAATTTAAGTTAAGGAATACTGTTGAATTTTTTCATCTTTCTCTTTCCACAAGCAAATTTCTATTTCTTAACCTAAAGAGTGATTCTACAAAATGCAACAGCAGAGAATATTACTGTCTATTGGATTTTTACATTCCTAAAATGTTTGAGTGCCACACAACAATATTCCCTTTCATGGCATAAGTTAATTAGACTTAGAATGTTGCCACAGGAAGAAATTTTGCCACATGTTGGACATGGTGGGTCAGAGCAGGGAAAAGTCTCAGTGAAGTATGCAGAGATCACTTTCAAACAATCTGTGGACACTCTGTGACAGGAGCGGTACCAGAAGGAGCAGGACAAGCTAAAAGAAGAGTGGGAAAAGGCCCAGAAGGAGGTGGAGGAAGAAGAACGCAGATACTATGAGGAGGTAGGAAGCTCTCGGGGACTTTGTCCTTGTCAGCCCAGTTCCTCAAATCTGTCACTGACTTTTGTATCTGTGCAGTGTGCGTGTGTGTGTGTGTGTGTGTGGCTTCTTCTGTCATTGCTCACAGCAGGGCTTCCATGTCCAACCTCTTGGAAAGAATTACATCCCGTTGGCTGTAAAAAAAACCACAATTCCCCCAAAATATGGGTGATATCACGAGTGTGTTGAAGCACAGTCAAGGAGACGATAGGATTATGTCTTTCTTCCAGGTACAGCCTGGTTCTTGATCTTAGAGATGACATGAAAGAATCAGTTCATCTATGTATTTTTAGGCTTGTGTATAGCAAGCCTATTTGGTAGTAATGAATTAACTTTGTACAATAATTTTGGTATTTTGGCTAAACGAGTATAATCTTACTACTACATTCACTAGATAGTACCAAAGAGATGTGGAGAGGAGAATTTTATTTCATTTTATTTTTTAATTAACAAACCAGACCATGCTACAGAATTTGAAAGTGGGTGCATTTTGTTTATGTTATCTAAAATTTGTTTATGATTAGTATTGTTGTGAATTTTATCTTCACTAATAATTTTTGTAAATCGTCAATCCCTAATAGCATTTCTTAAATGAGCTTTCTGAGTCATACAAATGAATCCAGTCTTTAGTTTTCTACAGTCAGTGTTTATTTCTAAATTATTGCCCATAGAGAGTATTGGGCGATTTGCATGCTTTAAAAGTAGATGTTTTCAAATGCTTGCTTCTTCACACATATTCTGATTTTTTTTCAAGTTCCTTAATGTAATTTTCCTCTTTTTTCTTAGTGTAATTTCTCCCTTGACAAATATGATTATTCCCCTTTTATTGACTTGTGTCCTTCCCCTTAGGAGCGTAAGATAATTGAAGACACTGTGGTTCCGTTTACTATTTCTTCAAGTTCTGCAGACCAGCTGTCTACGTCCTCTATCACTGAAGGCAGCGGAACCATGGTGAGACCATCAATTAAAAGCAATTTGTGAAAGAAATAAACCTAAATGGAAGTATAAAACCACAGTTCCAAATTTCCCTACCAAACACAATAGTTGGAAACCAGGCCTGGCTGTTTCCCCCAGAACCACATCGGTGCGGCGCGACCATTGCACGCTCTCTGTTGTCAGTGCTTCAGAGAAGCAGTAAAGTCATCGCAGCAAGCAGGCTGGCAGGCTCTAGGTAGTGAACATCCTGCTCACTGCCTGGCTCCTCTATTGCTCCTTCCTTCCACAGACATTCATTTCTCTCCACCAAGCTAGGCCTGTTCTTGCACCGCTCGGCAGAGCAGAGATATCTGCCTTATGTTCTCCACCAATTCCAGGAAGGTTGCTTCTAACCCCAAAAGTTCCACAAGAAACCTGCATTTGTCTTTGAGGACTGAAGAAAGCCAGAAAGGCTGCTGTACCTCCACGTCCCCCAAGTAAGGTCACAGAGGCACTGAAAGGAAGTCATACCAAAATCTGCTTAGTCCACAGTCTACACACAATAAAATAACCCATGGATACCAGGCAAACGTTTGTGTTGAAATGAGCAGTCCTGTGACTTGGTTGTATGTTGACAACAGGATTTTCTAACCAGTTCCCTTTATGGTATGACTTTAGAGACACAAAGAGTCCAGATTATACATTTATGCCAAATAATTGGAAATCAATTAGGATACATCAATTTGGGTAACTGTTCTTTACACTGTAGACCATGATTGAAAATGCTTCAAATATTTAATGACCAGAGATAAATGTGGTTCAGTACATTTAAAAATTATAGGGCCCGGGCTGGGGATTTAGCTCAGTGGTTCTTCCACCTGCCTCACAAGTGCAAGGACCTGAGTTCAATCCCCAGTACCCGCCCCCAAAGTGTAGGACCCAGGGATTTATCTCAGTGCTTCCGCCTCCTGCCTCATAAGCACAAGGTCCCTAGTTCAATCCCTGGTATTAAAAAAAAAGTTATATTTAAGACATGAATGGTGGCATATGCCTGTAAAACAAGCACTCCGGGAGGCTAAGGCAAGAGGATTGCAAGTTCAAGTCCAAGTAGGCAAATTAGTAACTTAGCAAGAGCCTGTCTCAAAATAAAAACTAAGGGCTGGGGATTTAGCTCAGAGGTTCTGCTGCCTGCCTCGCAAGCACAAGGACCCGAGTTCAATTCCTGGTTCCAAAAAATAAAAATAAAAGAAGAGCTGAGGGTATAGTTCAGTGTGAATGCCATGGGTTCAATCCTCAGTACCAGGAAAAAAAAAATATATATATATACATATGAATATAATTATCCTTGTTTTCTCCTTAGAATAAAACAGATTTGGAAAACTGTCATGATGAAGAAAGAGAGAGGAAACACAAGGAACCACTCCAAAGGAATGATAATGACATATTGCATAAAACAAAGGAAAGTGATCTGCTGGAGGAGAAGGGCAGGTATGAGCCCGTACCAGGCTGTCCATGAAAATTCACAAAGCCAAGTTCTGCCCGTTCGTCATTGCTAATGCAAATCGTAGTCAGCTTTGAAATGATCATTCCAGTAATACATTACATATTGCTTGAACATATTGTAATAGCTCTGAAGTCAGTGTCCTTATGCTCTTGAATATAAATAGCCTTTATTTTTAAATAGGCAAAATGTTTTTATTTTTAATAAGGAGAAACAGTATAGATCATCAGAGAACCCTGTTGTCAATTCAAAGAATTGTCAGTCAGCTCACTGAAGTGGTGATGGTGTTTGAAGCAGTAATGGTTGAAACAAGACCCTGGAGTCTCATCTACTGTGGTTCCACTGTGGACCTGATGATGGCTGTTACTATCCCCTGTGCTGTGAGAAGCCATGTTTACCCTGGGTGATGATATAAAGGGCAGCTGACTAGTTAGTTGTTTGTGGTACCTCTTGCCAAAACTCCAGGATGTTCCATGAGCGGGAGATCAGAAAAAGAAGCCAGAAACCCCTGGAACACTCAGAGTAGCTCACACTGGAACAGACTCTGGGGGAGCAATGGCTATGATGGGCTTCTTGATGCCACCCGTGTCTGACCTGGAAGGAACCCACAGAATGCCCAGGTGGCATTCCTCAGTGTTCCTTTTGAGATAGATGTTTGCCTCTGGGGTCTGAGAAGTCTCTGGGCTTGTTAGGTAGAAGGCTGTATGTAGGTTAAGCTTTAGGAGCTAAGGACCCATGTCCAGAGGCACACTGTCTTTAGATAAGCACATCTGTTCTCAGTTATTGACAGAGACTTTCTAGATTGTTTTAAAACAAAACTCCCAGTCAGGAAGATTTGAATGATGCCAAGAAGTATTTTATATGCATTTTTGTATAGGCATTCTTTATATAGTTCTTTATATAGGCATTTTGTAAGAATTGTTGTTCATTCTCCCAAATGTCCTCTGTGTCACCAGAAACTTTCTTTGTATCTCCTCCATCTCTCCACACAGAAGCTGCAGTGGATTACCACAGGCTGCAGAGGTCCCACGTGGCACAGATGATTTCTACAAAAATCTCTCTTGTGAAAATGTGGGAGTTTCCAGTTAGCTCCTGCATCCCTTGAAATGGTAGAATGAATAGCTTTGTGGACAGGCAGAACATTGCAAATGACAATTTCTTTACAATATTTTAAATATTAAATAATATTTAATAAAACATTAAATAAGAATAGTTTGAAATGAAAAGAATAAGGAAACAAACCTATTTCTCTTTTCAGATTGTAACTGGTACTTCCATACCCTAAGTGATAGGACCAATAAGTTTAATCCAGCTGCTTTTATCTCTGTTCTGAAATATGTTTCTTTATTTTAACAGCCTGTCGCAAGGGCCATGGGCTTCTTCTGAGAATTTGGCATCAAAAGGAATCCATCAGGACCATCAGCTGGATACAGAGGTTGGGGCCCTATCCTGCGGGACAAACCCACAGCTAGCTCAGGGTAAGAAAGGAGACTAAACTCAGTATTTAAATTGTTGTAATACCTCTGTATTGTCCAGGCAGATATGACCTCTGCTAGCTATAAACTTCTCTTTAAGGGTCCCAGACCTCAATATATAAGGAATGAACTCCTATCATCAAGACCTGAAGCTTGTATGGTATCATTGAGGACCCACTGAGGCCTGAACAGGATGTATACTTGTATATATATTGACAAAATGCCTTCAACTTTGATAAGAAATACATTTTGAGACTTCCCCAGTTTTCCTTATTTCTCCACTGGAATTAATCCCCCAATAAAACGCTTACAAAGCTTTAGAATCTGCATGGCCAGGCTGAGAAAGTCCTAACAGCTTCCCTTCCTGTGCCATCTTATTCGCACCTGTGCCCCATATGTCAGGCTCCCCACAATGAAATTCAAAGGTTTTCCTAAAATAAAGAAAGAATAGAAGGGAAAAGTTGAAAACAAAAAAGCTTTTGTAAACAAGGAGGGAACCAGGTTTGAAGGGAAGAGCAAGGAATGCGGAAAAAAGAAGAAATCAAGATATATCAGGTATAAGTGCAAGATCCCTATGATGAATGTGATCATGTACATCAAAAAAGCACCAATAAAATTAATTGAAAAAAAGATCATCTTCTGCATGCCACCGAGGCTTCCTGTGTCAGATCTATGAATGCCTTCAGGCTTCTGCATTTGACCCCCTTTGATTTTAAACTTCAGGTTGGTGTGGCTTTGCACCTTATTTGTTTAAATTTCTTTATTATTATTTTTAACCACTAAAAAAAGCTTCAAGGATATTTGCTGCTGGCAGGTACTTCTTGACTTAGTCTAAAGGTAGAAGGATTAAAGAAGGGTGAGTTAAGAAACTAGAGATGACCATAATAAATGTGTTTAGAGCAAAGGCAAATTTGGCTAAGTATTCAGAGAGGATTGTGTTAGGTACTTTTCTCCCACTGCTAAGACAAAGTACCTGTCATCAAAAGTTAAAGCAGAGGGCTGGGGATTTAGCTCAGTGGTTTGGTGGCCTGCCTCGCAAGCGCAAGGACCCGAGTGTGATCCTTGGTACCACAAAAAGAAAAAAAAGTTAAAGCAGAAAGGGTTTATTTAGCTCACAGTTTGTAGAGGTTTCAGTCCATAATTGCCTGGCTCTAAGGCAGGGATAGGAAACAGGCATGGCTGAGGAGAAACAACACGGCACATACAAGTTAGCAAAAGTAACAACAGTGTCTTTCTGCCCCTTGTATCTTGTTCAGACTGTTCAGGGTGGGTAGCACTGCACCCTTAATCCTAGTGCCCTCGGGCCTCATTCCAGCATGAATCAATTACACACTCTAGACTCAGCTACCTAGAAGAAGTATGAGGTTTTGGGGGGACAGGGACATCTAAACACAAGTCATAACAGGGATTAGTGGCAATGTGTCTTTTACTGTAAGAAATTTTAAAAAATTTAAACCTTCAAAAATATTTAGCTAAGCAAAAAACACTTCCAATATTGGAATTCATAAATTTGGCCTTGTATTTTAAGCACATTTTAAATTCATATATTTATATAGGTTGATTGTGCATAAGCACAGTCTTATATATGGCCCCATCTAGAGATGTTCTATACATCATATATCTCTGTAGAGATGCCCCTTGGTTTAAACCATATCATGGTATAACCTGTGGGTCAGAAAAAATAATGGGTATTTATTAAGTTGTAGAAATTATGTCCCGTGTTATAATTGCATCAACTCAAATTTGCTTTCTTCTAATGTACAAGAGATCAGTACTTTGAGTATTGTTATTATTACATCAGAAATCACTGAGGCAAAAGAGCCTGGTTCCGGATCCCCATTGCTTCCAGTGCTAGTGGACAGTGCAGGAAATTCACTGGCCACTCCAGCCAGCCAGTGCCCACAGCCTCCATGGAGTTGATGTGAGACCTCAGTGGGCATCAGCACTTTAAAGAAAGGGGACTTGCGAAATAGAACGGTGATTTTACCGAGTACAAAGTTTGTGTTCTTTACTTGGCCTCAGATCCATCCCAGAATCAGCAGGTATCAAACCCAACAACATGCATGTCAGAAGATGTGAAGCCAAAAACCCTCCTGCTGGATAAAAGCATTAACCACCAGATTGAGTCTCCAAGTGAAAGGCAGAAGTAAGTAAACGGTAATATGGATGTGGGTTGTTTTTTTTTTTTTTTTAATACACTGACTCTAGAAGGGGAAGAATTGAAAAAAAGTGATGGCAAGATGTCAGCTGCATTTTTGTGCTTTTTCTCGATTTGATTCTATTTTTGCCTTTTCTTGATTTGATTCTATTGACACAGTAACATTTATAGATGTATAAGACAGTCTTCTTGGTGAGTAAATAATCACTTGAATTTATCAATTTATGAGAGAAAATGCCATATTCTTAACCCACAAGTCTAAATATTTGGACAAATTTGTAAGTCTATTTTATAGTAAGTTACTTGAGTTAAACTGTCTCAGAGCCTATGAACAAATATTCTTTCAAGGAAAACATTGTTATTTTCCTATTATTATGCTCTCTCATTAAGGTAGCTACCCTAGGCTACATTTTAATTTTGTGAGAACTATTTTTTACATTAATAACAGTTCCTATCATTTTTGTGTGTTTCAGTATAATAGGCACTATATTGAAGAGTTTATAAATATTTCTTTTTTTCTTATGCTAACTCACTGAAGCCTTCCAATGAGGAATTTATGAAGTTGTTGTTCCCATAAGGAAGTTAAGCCTCAGGGAAGTTAAACAACTTACCCAAACTATTTGACCGGTTAAGTAGTAGAAGAATTCAGAAGGAAACCCACTTTTACAGCAAAATCCGATATAAGCCAGAGGTTCCTCGTAATCATACTTGCAGAAGTGCAACATTTACTATACTTTATCCAGTTACTCTACCTAGAGCCAGACCATCCGGATTCAAGTTTGCCTACATAGCAGCTTGGCCAAGTTACTTAATTTTTCTCTGCCTTAGTTTCCTTATTTATGAAATGGGAATGATGATAATATCTTCCTCACAAAGTTTTAACGCCTGACAATAATAAATATTGCATGGTGCTATATAGATGATGATGATAACTGTGTTATAAGAGAAAAAGGTTCATCTTTGGCCCCACTTTTCTTGTTAGGTTTTCCTTTTCCTCAATACAATGTTTGGACCATTTTCCCCCTTCCTCTCTATCCAGTTTCATTTCTAAATAGACACCAGAGTCAACAGGAGCTCAATCACATGGGTGCCATTGTTGTTGTTGCTTGTGTAGTGACTTTTAGCTGTTTTTCAAGGCATGACACTTGCACTGGAGCATATTGGTTGAAAACCTGATGTTCTGGAAAAGCAATCCTCTGCCTGAGGGGGGAGGTTGGGGTGCCGAGGGGTTTAGGGAGGTAACTGAGAGGGTGGATAGACTCAAGCTTTGTTCTCTTCTTGCTGGTATTTTTCTTTTCTTTTGCTCTTTTCCTTGTTCTTTTCTGTGTTCTACCCCTCTCTTTACAAATGAAATTAACTTTTAAAACCCAGAGCCTGGAAGTGACAGCCAAATGCCACGCAATTACATGCAGCCCACAGTATGTGCACCTCCCTTCGTGTTCACCACTGGCAGCACATGGCATGTATAGTGGTTGCTAAATATTTTGGGTTTTTTGTGGGTTTTTTTTTGTTGTTGTTTGTTTGTTTGTTTGTTTGAGACAGGGTCCCACTATGTAGTTGAGACTGACCTGGAACTCACTATGTAGCCCAGGCTGGTCTCGAACTCACAGCGATCCTCCGGCCTCAGCCTCCCCAGTGCTGAGATGACAGGCATGCGCCACCGTGCCTGGCTGGTTGCTAAATATTTTAAATATCACCCTTTAGCACATGTACCCAAAGTGGAAACCACCCTGCTGAAAATGCCTCCTGTCACATCTGCCCTGTGTTCCTGGGCTCACTTTAAGAGCTGGCCCCTCGATATTCACTCGTTTCTCCCTCTATCCACAATATTTATAGCCATCTCATCAATGTAAAACCAACCAGTCTGGTGGATAACTTTTAAAAGAACCTCAGTTTTAACTAAAGAAGAATTAAACTGAAAAGAAAGATTAGAAAATTATTCTGGTTTTTCTGTTTAGCCGTGGCAGCATGCCAGCCTGGTTCTGGTTTTATGTAGCCAATGCAAGTATAATCCTTACTAGACAGAATTACTATTGTATTTATTTTCAAAAAAAAAAAAAGTTAGCACTAGAAGTCTCTGTGCTCTCTTATTTGCTTGTCAAGGAAATGTTTTTATTTTGGTTTGTTTTTTTTAATTTAAAAATGTCTTTTTGAAATTTTGGGCTTCTGTTGTCTTGTCATAATTTTTGGCTCCTTTACCATGTTACAGGAAAGGCCCTCGAGAGAACTTCCAGGCTGGGCCCTTGTCCCCCTGTCCTCCCTCTCCTCCTGGCCAGTCACCAAACAGGTACAAGAGGTCAGCGAGCCTTCCCAAGGCTGCTTTGTGTGGACTCGAGCTCGCCAGGCATCACTATGGCTGAACTGGTGCTTGCCAAGTGATTTGGGGGGATTTGCTGTCCGCATCTCTTCCCGCACACACAGAAGCAGCAGGAAGGAAAACATCCTCCATCTGCCTGTAGATTCATCTGCTTGTGATAGAAAAAGTCAAGTGTGTGACGTTGGCGTGCTGTGACCATAAGACTTTAATTACATTGTGTGGAACCTGCAATCTAATAATAAAATCCACCAGACAGCTGCTGGCTCCTCCAGTGGCGGCCCCTTTCCCTCTGTGGCAGCTCAGCCTTCTAGGCAAGGCCCGCTGATGATGGCTCTTCCAGAGAACCAGGCAGAGGCTGGGAAGCCAAACGTCACCTTCTCTTTTGCCTATTCTGGCTCTTAATGCTTGCTTCTGGATATTAATTGGGCCCAGTGATATTCTTAAAAGCTGTCTGAATCTCCAGTCACTGGAGAGACAAATTTCTAAGTACTCAGAGGTTTTATCTACTAGGTAAGAGGGAAATCCTAATAAATGGGTTTTGATTCAGACAAATCTTCCTCTTTTCTATAGTATTCCTTTCTATTTCCTCTGTCCCTCCGTAGCCTTGGCTTTCAAATGACATTGCAGATTTTTTAATTCTTGTGTAAGTCCCAAGGCTTTTCAGCTCATAAGCGTCACTGCAGTATGATCTTAGCCGTAGGAAGGCTGCCCTGAGGACCGCCATCCACTTTCAGATGGGTTGTTGACTGTGTCCTCTTCCCTAGCGTTGGTCTGCTGGGTTTGTTCTCATTATTTTATTGGCGGGCCCTGCACTGGGGACTGCAAAAGTACGAAGAGGAAGTAGAGGCAACTCTGCCCTCCAGGGGTTGGCAATTTAGAGAGATGGCAAGTGCCTAAATTATAGGTTCAGTGTTTGCATTGGAGGAAGTGGTAGAGATCACTAGTCCACCCTTCTCCCAGGTGGAAGGGAAACCCCAAGTGAGTTCTTCACAGCAGATCACAGAACTTGGTAACAGTGCCCATATCCTATATCTCAGGGCCCTTTGCCTTACTCCTGTTCTGTTATGTCACAGTTGACTCTTATCTTTTTAACCAATTTTTTTCCATTATAAGTAAAAAGAAATGCCCTAGAAGGGGAGTGAACCATTTACTGAAAATGTCAAAGCACCATTGGAACCTGAGTGAAGCTAAACTTCATTGTCTTTTAGGATTTATGAAAACACAGGGTAAACACATTTTATCATCCCAAGGTAGCCAAACAGAATACCACATGACTTGTTGGAACAAAAATCTTACATGCACACGCACACACACACACACACACACACACAAACACACACATACACACTTCTACTAGAATAAGTACCATGATGGAAGCCTGTTGTATTCAATCTAGCATTTGTTATCCAGCATTTGTTATCCAAACTCATACGTACCGCGATGGAAGCCTGTTGTATTCAATCTAGCATTTGTTATCCAGCATTTGTTATCCAAACTCATACTTCCTTTCTTACTCGTTGTCAGTTCAGCAATTCTCATTTCATCCGTGAGATAAGCATTGTAAGAATCCACGTCTCTGTGTTTGCATGTTGTTGCCTATGGGCGCTTGGGGCCGGTCCCTGTAACTGAAATGTGTGTTATTACTGTGTCTGTCACCCCAGGTCCATAAGTGGGAAGAAGCTGTGCTCTTCCTGTGGGCTTCCCCTGGGTAAAGGAGCTGCGATGATCATCGAGACCCTCAGTCTCTGTTTTCACATCCAGTGCTTCAGGGTATGGACATCTCACTCTTCTAAGTGAAATTTCATGGGTTTTGGTGTTTGGGGAACTTGGGTGGCAGTTTCTGCCTCAAATCTTCTACGGCTGCGTGGATTTGTTTCTAATTTAATATATTTCCTGTTTCTTAAACCCTTCTGGTTTCGTGTCAGAGTTTGTGTCTTTGACCTAAGTAAATGGGTATATCTGGTTACAAAACTGTACTTCTCAGAATGAGTGTCTTTGTAATCTCAGTTTGAGTATCACTCCTGGAAGCTATCTTGCCTACCTCGACTAAGTCAGTTGCCTTTGTTATAAAATGTTCATGGTCATTATCCCTCATCATTGTATTATTTCATTATTCTCTTCTCTAATAAATTATAAACTCCATAAGGGCAGGAACAATGTCTGCCTTGCTCTATTTCCTCTGTATCTAGCCAGGTAGGCATCAATAAATATTTGTAGATGAAGGAATTAATGAATAAACTGCAACCAAATCTCCTACTAGTAAATAGATGAGCTAACCAGTTATAGCTGATTTATTATACAGTTTATAAGTTGAACTCTGTCAGCATATCCTACCCTTTTTTTCCACCGATGGACACATTTCAAATGAATAAATAACTTTAGAAGCCAAATCTTCTATCTCTAAAGGTCAGCTGTTTCTTTCTCTGCACAATGCTGACATACTTTCTATTTCCTTCTTGAATTTTGTTTGTCGTACATCTTGGTAGTAGCCTCCTTAGTTATAAAGTAAATTAGTAGGGGTTGAAAATAATGCCCACTTTGTCTATGAATTAAGAGATAGCGGGTGAAGTTAACCCTGAATTATTAATTTAAAAATACCAGTAACTGCATGAAAGTAAGACACCATAGACAAAATACAGTGTACAAATAGCTTATAATATAATTTGGATGAAGGTTCCCTCTGTCCTGGGTAACCATAGAGCGTGAATCAGAAGTTGGTCCTGATCCCACTGCAAGAGGCTAGCAACTGGACCAACCCCAAGTGCCACCTTCTCTGGTATGAACTGCAAAGTAGCTCCCACTATTTCTTCTGTCCTCTGGCCATTTGGCTAAAGGAGTTCCATTCCCAAGGGATTTGTTATTCTGGGATCACTGCCTTTAATGTGGAAATATAACATGCAATCACTTTTCCTAGTAGTTGTTGTCTGGTAGAATCTACCAACAAGGCTGGAAAGCCTTTAAAGATTATTGATAGTCAAGTTGAAATGATGATCTGTTGGCTGTGTGCTTATTTGAAACCACTGGGGTTTAATCTGTTTAAAATGACTCTTTCATCTTGATTGAAAAATAGTGTATTATGAAGTTTAAAAGGACAGGCTTTTAGTCAATGAGATACAACTTGACAGCTTCACAGCCTTAGGACAAATCCACTAACCTCTTTGAACTTGTGTTCTTCTCTGTAAAATGCTTCAAGTATTTTCACTTTTTCTGTAAGTCAACTCTTGGGATGGCATCTAACACATAATAGATGCTTAACAATGTGGAGATTGTAGAAGTGACTGTTGTGTCAGTCACTAAGCATGATAAAGAACCAATTCCCTACACATCCTTTAACCACTCTTCTTTTTCCCTGCAGTGTGGAATTTGTAAAGGACAGCTTGGAGATGCACTGAGTGGCACGGATGTCAGGATTCGAAATGGTCTTCTAAACTGTAATGATTGCTACATGCGATCCCGAAGTGAGTATGGGGAGCATACCCCAAGAGGAGTGGGTACAAGCATACACGTGCATAGGAGCACAGTTAGGAATTCACATGCATATTTGAGTCCCCTATCCTGAGAGGAAGTATTCTTAACATGAAAGTTGAAGACTCAACAATGAAATAACCTCTTCTTTGCCACTTGTTTCTCACTGGAAGTTACTGGTGACGGGAATAAAGTCTGTTTATCCAAAAGTGCATAAACACATGAGCAGGTAAAAAAAACGAAGGCCAAGTTCAAGGAACTGCCTGATCTGGTCATGGTGAGTTCAAAGAAAGGCTATGATCTGAAGCGCTGCTCTTTGGTCATGGGTCTTTAAAGACCGGCTCCACCTGAGGATGCTCACTGTGGAGACTGACTCTCCACTGTTTATCACTCGATCTCAGCCCAAAGTCTGAGAAGCGATCCCTCTACTGTTTATCAAACTGAGCACCAACTCCTCAATGTCACCAGGATCTATATTCGGGCGTTTTGTTATGTAATATTACTCTGCTCGCAACCAAATTAATAGTTCCTTGAGAGACCAAATGATGGATTCTACTTCTCTATGGATTCCCCCTTCCCCTCCAATACCTTAGCACATAATCCGAATTTAACAAATATTTGCTACCCTGGAGTTCACTTGAGCAGCTTGCTCTGGGATGTTCGTTCTCTATGGGTCAGGTGTCCAAGGTTCATGTTCCTTTTGAGGACACCAGGAGGTGCTGTTGCCCAGCTGCTATTATAGAAATTCTGAAACTAGCTAGTGACTTGCTTCTGACTCTTTCTGGGTCTCTATCAGGAGGCCTGGTGGCTAACCTAACATCAGGAGACCTTTCAACACAAATTCACCAGGCTGATAGACTTAAGAAAAAGCGAAGAGATAGGGTTTGAAATCCAGGAATGTTTGATTTCTCAAAGTAAGCAAAGTAGCATTTTCATTGCCTTTTTACATGACCTCTACATCTGCAAGACTGAACAAAGAATAAAAACAGATAGTAATTTACTATGTGCTGCTATCTCCTGCTCCATGCTTCCGGAGACCTGATATTACTGGCATGGGCCACCACACCCAGCTACAGGGAACATCTGACTTGAAGTCAAAGCAATTCCACTTTAGAGCCACTGCCATCTAACCAAACTATTTATACTACGCATTATACATATGACTACTTTTAAACTGTATGTTTTTTATATATTGAAATAATGCTGTAAATATACATAAAGACAGATATATATGTACACGAGCCTTGCATAACCCATCTGTACTCTTTAAACTAGACTTTCCTTGTTTGGTTTTTATGCACTAGGAAGGAAAACTAAACACTTTTCTCCCAGCTTTCAAAGGGACTTTTTCCATCCTCTGTAAATGACACTTTTTCCCAAGTTCAGGGCATGGGCCAAATGTGGATCATGGAACCAGAAGGGGGCAGTGTTAGGTTGGAGGACTGCGAAGGGAGATTCAAAAGTGCTGCAGATCCCGATTCCTTTCATAACCTACACAGCACTTGAAGGACGCCAACAGGATGACTCTGAACCCACCTCTGAGTGACTGACCTGTTTTCATCCAGATTTGTTTTTAATTGAGAGGTAGAGTTGAGTGATTCATTATCATTTCTTTTGGAAATTAGTTTTTTGGGTCTAAGCCAGGAATTTTTCTCTTACGTATACAACTTTAAAGGACATTAACTATTTTTAATTTGAAATCTAAAGACCAGAACTGTGGTCTTCCTGTAACAGGATGAAAAATAAGAAAGTGATTTGGAAGTCTACAAATACAATTTTTTGTTTATTTTACATGTTAAATGTAATGTTGTATTAGGACTCTTTAAGAAATACTGAGAAGAAAGCAAAAAGGCCCCATTATCTCTCTACCTAGATATTAAAAAAATCAATAAATAAGTTACAAATGACATAAGATTAGAAAATTTGAAATTGTTCAGACACATGCCAAAAGTGAAAATCTCCAAAGTTATCACTTTCTAATAATTTCTTTTTTGTCATTGAAACCAATTTTTATTAGTGCATGTTTCAGCACATAGTGATTACATTCCTTGTGGGAAGTTGGTCTGTGTATGTAACACATCTTAATTACTTTTTCATCCTTCTCTTCCACACCCCCTCTTCATCTCTTGATCCCACTCCCATAAGAGAAGTATCAGTCTCCCTACTTCTTATTAACTATTTTTTATTTTGCTTTTTACTTATACTTTGGACTTCTCATGTAAGAGAAACCATTTGATATTTAAGCTTGTGTGTCTGATTTATTTCATTTAACATTATAGTCTCAAGATGCATCCATTTTTCTATAATTGACTCAAATTTATCCTTCTTTCTGGCAAAGTAGTATTCCATTGTGTATAAATACATTTTTTTATCCATTCATTTGTTGATGGACATATAGGCAGTTTCAAGATTTAGCTATTAGGAATTAGGCTATTATAAACATGAGTATGCAACTTTTTAATAATTTCTTGGGGTAGGGACAAAATGGGTAATTGTATTTGCACACATAGAGAAATATATCTGCATGATGTGTCTATCTGTGTATGTGTTGGGTTTCACTTCACACAGATGATAATCACATAGCTGTGGGGTTCTGCACTTAGTTTCTTTTGCTGTTGTTTTGGACTTAATGACAAATCTTGGCAGTTTTTCCATTTAACATGTTTTTTTCCCTTCACTCTTTTCAGTGGGTTTTTAGTAGCCACTGCATTCCCATTTGGTGGACTTGCCTTAGCTTAAAACCAGTTCTCAATAAAGGGACACTTTGATCACTTACAGTTTTTTAATACTTTCAAATGCTCCAGTTAACATCTTTGAATATATCTTGCTGAACATTTGAAAATACCTCCAAAGGAAACATTCTGAACAGTAGTAGAGTTATGTGCTTTTTCATTTTTCAGTTATCTTTCCTATCGTTGTTCAGAAAATGCATCCTCCCTGCAAGATTTCTGAGAGCCCCTTTGTCCCTCTATGCCAGTGGCAGCTCTGGGTACCATCACATGGTAGAAATGTCCACTCTGGACTGAGGGTATAGCTCAGTGGTAGAGCACTTGCATTTCTAGCACTATAAAAAAAAGTCCACTCTACTAGGTGGGGAGAAACCTCATTACTTTGAGCTGTATTTCTTATGAGCTTGAATATCTTTTCATGCGTTCATTTACCATTTACACTTTTTCTATTAAGTGCTTTCAATCCTTCATCTGTTCTTCTCTTAGCAACCTGATTTGAGTTCTTTGCAAAATAAGGAAAGTTTCCCTGTGTGTGTTTGCTCCGTGTTGTGATTGTCGTGGGTTTCCTATTTTGTGATTTGTTTTCACACAATTTTTTTTCATTTTAAGTAACTAATACAATTTTCCCCTTTTTGGATTCTGGGTTTTGTGTCCTACTCAGGAAAATACTCTCTGTTTTAAAGGTTAGAAAAAAAGAAACTTAGCTGAGATTCTGCAAGAATTTTTTCTTTTTTACTTATAAGTGGGTAACCATTAGGAATGCATTGCGGGATAAAAATTAAGGAGATAGCCAACCTTATTTTTTCCAGTTAGCTTATTATGTGAATAACAATAAATAATCCCTTTTGTTCTCACTAATTTGAAATGTTAACTTTCTCATAAACTATATATATATATGGACTTAGTTTATGAGAAAGTTAACATTTCAAATTAGTTGAAATATTGTTATATATATTTATATATATATATATTTATTGTTATATTTTTTGTTTTATATATACACACACACATTTGAGTCTGTTTCTGGGTATTTTATTATATCTTATTAACCTATTTATTTTCCATACGAATGTTTTTAATTTTCTGTCTTCATAAACTGCTTTAATAATGGCCACCTTCTCTGCAATTATTTTTTCCAAATTTTTTCTAACTTTTATATGTTTATTTTCTAGGTAAATGTAATATCACTTTAGGTTGGTTTTAGTTAAGTCAACACATGCCAGGGAAGAGTATTGCTTTCCTTCTTAGTATCCTAAGTAATAAATACTGTATATCTTAGGAATGAGTAGGTGGAAGTCTAATAATTTCACTAGAGAATTATAAATATATTTGAGCTGTTTGAATGTAAGCCAGATGCAATAAAAGAATCCAAAAGAGAAGAAATGACTAAAAATCATTTTTCTTTTTTCCTTCTTTAATTTTACTTTGATATGAGTTGAAAAGAGGTTAGATGGATAGATGTGAAGGTAGTTTACATCACAGGCATTCTAAGTGAAACAAAATAATTTCATTTTGTGGAATAATAAAACCTGAATATACAATCCTGTTTCCTTCAAGTAACGAGTCACATTTAAATGAAATTTTTCTCTTGGAAGGAAAAACAGCATAAGAGCGATATTAAAATGCAATCCCTAAAAGCAATGTAAACAGTTTTTAAGTTCGTATGTAAATGGGAGGGGAAGCGCAAAACAAATGACCTGTCACGATTCAGCTGTCACGTGTTTAACTCGTGCCCGGTGTGCTTCGGCGCTCACAGGGCTCCATTCCAACACGCACTCTCACGAAACACACTCAGTGCCAACTCCCTGGGGTCTCACATGAAGGACGAACCTTGTGAAGATTTCAGCAGGAAATGCAGAACTTCATCCTTTCCAGATAAATTTGCCAGAGAAAAATGCGAGATGCCCAGTTAACATTTTCATTTGCATTTCAAGCCAAAAAATTATTTTTTAAACTTGAATTTCAGATAATCTACTTTTCTATATGTATCTGTCCTAAATCTTGCATGCTGTTGATTTGGTGCAAGTGTGTCTCAGATACTACGTGGGTACTACTTAGGCTGAAAAAGTATGTGTTTATCTGAAATTCAAATTTACTGGGTGCTTTATACTTTTACTTGATAAATATAACAGTCCTATTTCTAGATCGCATGTCAAGTTCCTCTGGTTTTGATGAATTTAATCCTAGAGAAACCAAAACCTAAAGTAAGTATGAAAAAAAAGAAGCTGTTTTTTTGTTTATCTGCCCCAGAGGATAGCGGAGAAAACTTACTGGGGAGATTTACAGGAAACCTAGAGTTCTTGACCCAAACTTCAGAGCATATGTACCACCTTGGCACATTGCTAAGTGGGTCTGAGATGGGTCCAGTGGTCTGAATTGTTAACAAAGGTGATGTTAGTACTGCTTGCCCTGATACTATACTTGAAGTAACAGGATGGGACAAGTTTCCCCTCTTCTGGGAGAAAAAAATTTGGCAAATGCAATTGCTTATTTGGAAAGTTTTAAAACATCTGAAGCAAGACAAGCACAGGAACCAAAGTTGTTTTCTTTTTATAGGTGCTGGCCAACCTACAACACTGTGATGTGGTTTTCAAGCTTTCGATCAATGACCATTACTTTATGGAGGGTGTCCCCTGGCAAGTGCTTAACAAAAAGTTCAGGGGCTCCTCAGCATTCATCTGATTTCTGAAAGGCTCTTCTGAAAGGTGGTATCTGTTCTTTTGTAGCAGTGTTTGTGTTTTCCTGGTTTTTTGTGGGGCTTTTTTTTTTTTTTTGCATTTGCACAGTATATACAAAAACATTAAATTGTAATGATCTTGAACAGTTCAAAAAGTTGTTTTAATGTTATCAAACAGGCTTACCATTTAAAATGTGTTATTTTCTTCTTTGGGAAGTAGTTAAGGATGCAATAAAACTGTTGTTTTAGTATTTCTAGATATTAAACACTTTATGTTTACAGAATTGAGCTGCAGAAAGTGCAAGACATGCCAATTTTACTGGTCTTCTAAGGCAGGAGCATAAATGTAATGCATTTCAGAAAAATTAAACATCACAATGAGCTCTATCTCTGAGCTATAACTTGTTTTTAATTCATAGACACTAGTCTGATAATATATACTGTAATCCTGAAAACATTTGTGTTACTTACCTTTCAAAGTAGCAGTTATACCAATAAATTATTGCACTGTTAGTATTAGATTTTGTGTATCTTGGAAGTTATGTCATTAATATAGGCTGGTTCATCAAACACAGAGGACCCTTGCAATATCAGCTAAACTTACACTCGGGGACATTGCCCAAGGATAGGAAGGAACCAGGGGGGATCTCAGCGATTGTCTCCAAACCTATCTAGGAAAGTCTATGAGGAAGTTTAATCTTCAGAAGAGTGGCAGATCAGTGGTAGCCCTGAGGCCCACATGGCTTGCTTCTCTCTGAGCAATGGATTAGGAATCTTCAATAAGGGGCTCATTTAAGGTGTGTGGGATGTGAAGCATGGAGGTAAATCTGTCATTAGGTGTGACCACTGCTTACCCTTGAAGGCCACAGGCACAGATATTCAAAGTAAAACATGAAGTCCATCCTAAGAGAATTCAGAGGCCAGGACGTAACAAGCCACTGTGTGTGACCAGCAAGAGGCTGCCGCTCAGATTGTTCTCTGTCTACTCTGACGGATGCATGTGCACCCTCATTTTCCCACATCACCTTCTTTACTCTGAGGAATTGTGGACTTTGCTCATGGAGTTTAGTAAAGAACTTTTGTAGAGATCTGGCTTATTTTCTTCCTTGCGTGATAAGTTTCAGCTGGACAAGAAAGAAATCACGTGACTAAAAACCATCAAACTTTGCATCTCCAGGATATTTTCTTTAAGACTGGGCAAAGGGGGACTATTTATTCTGCCTTAAAATGATGGCAAATAAGTGAAGATAACATTTTGTGAATGTAGACTGTGGGTACACTCCTAGTAGGTTAATGTAGTCATAAAAGGAGATCAAGTAGATGTGTTTCTGTTATGTGAGCAATATTTTTTTCTGTGTCTTATTGAGTACGGCTAGCAATTATTTATTTCTATGCTCGATGGTCCTTTGCATGTGGGTTCATGTAGGCGCAGATATTTCCTCAGCCACTGGAGGTATTTTGACCACTTTATCATCTGGACGAGCTGTTATTGGATTGAAATTTACACATCACTTCATTAAAAAATTGTGCCTTAGAAGACGCAAAGCTGCTGCATATAGTCAGCAGTGAATTATAGATACAGTACATTGAAGACATGAAGTCATTTCCAAATTCCCATGACTTCTCATGGAGATGTTTGCTGTTTTACAGGGGGAAAAAATGAAAAAGAAAAAATTAAAAACAATTTTTAAATGTACAGATTAAGTCCAATATTTTGATTAACCACCTGCATGTTTTATTAAATATTTTGATAATGTGGATGTTTACACTTTGCATGATACTAGCAGAGTACTTTACCATAAATGATGCACAAAACATGTACAATGTGGTCATTCATAACCAATTTTTATAGAGTACTTTTTACAAGTGGAATTACATCCATTATGTAAGGATCATGTGAATATTGCACATTATCTTCTGGTTTCACACACCCATTTATACATATTTCTTAGTGATACTCATTGTACATGTATTGAAACTAGAAGCAAGTCAAGAAAAATAAAGCCGCGTTCTCCAACTGCAAAACATGCATTCCCATAATGAACACTAGTCACCAGCACAGAATAATCTCCAACATTTTCTAAATTCTAATTGCCAACTGTTTCTATTTCTATTTGATTTATATTTCATTTAGAGTCGGTTACATGGCAGCTTAGGCAGACTAGATCTTGTTTTTTCCAGTGCAGCATAATGAGTATGATCTATTTCTTTTCAAATAATCTTTGAGATCCCAGGAAAAAAAATGCTGTGCTCTGTGGGGCTACAATGCAAATGTGTTTGTTTAAAAAACAGATGAGGCAAGTGAGTGATTCATTGTTCCTGAGGAAGTATATCTGTTTTTTTTTCTCAGACTCCAAAAACTAGTCTCTTTTGTTTCCTAAGAAAAAAATGGGTAACTCTGTTTTTCACTAGCAAACTTTCATGATGTTTCTTCATTCTTTCTATGTAGTGTTATTAATACAATGCATATTCTAGTTATCTATACACACCTTAAGATTTAACAAACTGAAATGATCCACCTCATGTATGAATCTGTCCAAAAGATGTTACTGTCCTGGGTGGGCCAATGTTCTATATAAGTTACGCTAACTTTTATTTACAATATTTATTCTAAAATGCCTCTGAGAAATAGTAAAAACACAAACAAAAACAAGTTGTCTAAAATGCACCGCTTTTATAGCAAATGTACATTTATAAATAAAATACTCAAATCAACTTGTGTTCTGCTCATTTTTAAGGGGTGGGCATCAGTTTTCTTACTTGGGCAACAGAGAGAATCAAGCCCTCTCTCGTAAATGCTGGTTCAGGCTCACACAGTACACCAGCGGCAATGATATATACAAAGGATACTTATTTGAAATCAATTATGCAACGAGATAAATCAAACTTACCTCATGGTTGTAGGGCACAATGAGGAATTGCCTTCCAGGTCAGGATTTAAAGCCTTTGAGGTGAAATATGCAATAACCAGAAGAGATCATGCAAATGCCAATGGAATTTGTTGGTAGCAATCAAATGATGGTCAGATCTCACCTGTGGTTGGAGGAAACCAAGGCAAGCTCTAGGAAGGCCCTGTGTGTGTGTGTGTGTGTGTGTCACTGGCCCAGCATTGCCATGATGTTTCCCGCTTACGGGATGAAGTCTGTTTCACCAAGGCCCCTTTTCTCAAGTATCCAGGGATTATGCTGTGAACCATGGGCTCTCTGCGGGTACCTCTTTCTAAAACCCACGTGGCCCCTGCCTTGCACTCTATCTCACATTTGTAGGAGGTAGTAGGAGCGAGGAAATCCCTTAACATTTTCTTCAGCTGCATTTTGCTGGGCAATTGTTGCCAGTTTCCGTCTGTTTCACCAAGGCCCCTTTTCTCAAGTATCCAGGGATTATGCTGTGAACCATGGGCTCTCTGCGGGTACCTCTTTCTAAAACCCACGTGGCCCCTGCCTTGCACTCTATCTCACATTTGTAGGAGGTAGTAGGAGCGAGGAAATCCCTTAACATTTTCTTCAGCTGCATTTTGCTGGGCAATTGTTGCCAGTTTCCATGGAAAAGTGGACGATGCCCTTTTACTGAAAGTTTTAATAGTTATAAGAGTAATGTAATATATCCATGTTTATTTAAATGAAAGTCCATGCAAGTAGAATGCACTGAGTAACTGACTGTTACTCAGTGAGGTCTCTAAAGAATATCTTTACTAAATGAAAAGAAAAATTTGTTTCTGATGCATTGAACTGGATTTTTCCCCCATTCACTTTCTTCAAGACCAAAGGACTCCATTTCAGAATCCTAATCTACACCACAAAATCCCTTGGTATTATGTGAGGCAGAATTTAGGAATTAGAATGACTAGAAAGTTTACACCCTCAAACAACCAGTTTGACATTGTACTTAGAACCAAAAGATAATGACAGAGATTGGTATGGACTATGACAAATGGAGAAAAGAACAGTTCTGTCTGAAGGAGACAGTACTTGGATACATCCATTTGTTTTCATTTGAAATCTCCAGTTTATGTTGAAGATTCCAGAAGTTTCTGACACAGTGCTATCCAGAATTGTGAGGCTCAAAAAATATATACCTAAAAGTTCAATTTTGTTCTCAGGCCATTGGTTCATAACCGACTTATAGCTTAAGTCTTCCCTTGGCTTTTTTTCAGCTGCTACTAATTTTCTCTTCTGTGAGTCATTTCATTTGACAAATCCATCAAAGGCCATGTAAAATATTTGCATTTCAGAGTGTGTTGGGTCATGCAGAAAAAGAAACTAAGGTATTCCTATGATTCATAACACTCTTGAGTGGCATTTTTGATGGACTATTGCAAAGATTGTTATTTTAGAGGCACCCATTTTTCAGCGTTTTGCCTAACTGTGCCCTTCCCCTTCATAGTTTTATTCTTGTTCCTTAGTGACTCAAAACCACAGAGAGTACGAACTAGAATTTTTTTCTCAAATTTGTCTAGAGCTTTTTCAAGCATTGTTTTATTTATAAAAACAGCATTCCTGACATATAAGGAGATAGAGGTGTTGCCTCTTTCTTGTACAGGTTAGAAACTGAGGTATAAGAGTCTAAATGGCATAACCTGGATACGTATGAGATTTTACATAACTGTGTATTTAACCACTGTTCCTGATCAGGCTTGGTCAGATAATTTCCTATTCAATTATTCCTGGCTTCTGTGTCTGGGACCCCACATGAGAACAGCTAGGAAGACCCTTGAGCATAGTAGGACTTTGGTAGAATCTCATCTGCACTCAGACACTAGAACATACCTTTTATAGCAAATTTGCACTTCTAAATAAATTCTCAAATAGACTTGGTATTCCACTTTTTTTTCCATTTGATTGTCAAGAAAATAGAGGGCTCCCTCGTGGCACGCCCTTGGACACTTTGGCATTTGCTGGAGTGGAGACCAGGCCTAGAGACTTGGCTAGAGGCCACTGACCTCTCCACCACACACTACCTCCAAACCTCCTCTCCTGTCCAAGTCTGGTCTGCAGAGTTGGGAAACATTAGACCTACCTGATAGACAACACATTGTCCAGCCCTAATTTTGTTGCACAGCCTGATCAGCTTGCTCAAAGTCAACTGCCAAATCTTGAAAGAAAGAACTTTCTAATCCCACCACTAGTTTCTATTTATATTGTCTCACTCCAAACATTCACTGATCTGTAGTCAAGTTGCTTCACTTTTTCGACAGGAATAATGAAATTCTCTGTGAAAGCTGTGTTCTTTATTGTTCACTGGGGACTAAAGAACTATTTCAGTAGGCTCTGTGGATTTAGAAAACACCGTGGCTGAGAATGACTGACCCACAACCACAAGAAGCCCCATCGCAGTGTATCAAGCACTGCACTCTCACACCTTTTAGGCATAGATTTAATTACTATCCAAACTCAGTCCATGGAAAGTTGTGATAAATGTACTTCATGTTTTATGATACTTTGATATAACCACTCTGATATAACAACCATTCTGAGAAACAAATGGGATACTGATCAGACAAATGGAGAATGCCTTTTCTCAGATGATCCAAGAAATCTTGAAAAAAAATGAATAACCAAAGGAATTTGTCTTACTGAAAAGTAAAGCTTACTAGAAAATAATAGATGAAATATATATCTGGGCATAATTTATAAGTTAAGCATAATTAACATGAGAAAAATGATACCAGATGAGAAAAGTGATACCTAGATGTCCCCTAAAAGCCTCATGCACCCACAGGCAGGGCTTTGGGAAGGTGTTTGGATCATGGGACTTATAGCTGACTGGCAGTAAGAGGAGGTAGGGTCCTGCCACCTGCCTCACAAGCGGAAAGACCCAAGTTCCATCCCTGGTACCAAAATAAAGAAATAAATAAAAACTTAAAAAAAAAAAGAGGAGGTAGGGTCTGGTCAGAGGAGGCAGTCACCAGGAGTGTGGCCTAGAAGGGTTTATCTCCTTAACCAATCCCTGTCTTTTTTGTCTGCTTTGGTCTGTAATGCTATATTTTCCCTTTTGATAATTTGCATGTCACTCACCGTTGGTGAGGCAGAGATGACCATGTTTGTTTCTTTACCAATTTTCCTATTAAACAGCTATTTTTAAGATAGATTTTTAAGAGTGTATAAATATCCTCTCTCCCCTCTGCTAGGCTCCTCCACCTGCAGATCATGCACGGACTGACACTAAAATGTGAGCCAAAATAAACCTCTCCTTTCAATTGTGAGTATTGGTGTTTTGTCCCAACCACAAGGAAAGTAACTAAGACACCAAATGAACATAAAACAGGCCCAAATAAATGTTAAAGTTTTAAATGATAATAATGTTATCACAAATGGAATGTTGCAATTTTAAAACAGAGAATTGTATAGTACAATCTTCGGATATCAGAAAGATTTATGTTGGCCTCATATCTGGAAAAAAAACTAGTACTATTGATGTCAACACTGCACCATGATGAAAACATTGAGAGAGAAACCTCAATAAAATGGAAGCCTGAGATGGAAACTTTCTACAACAAAATCAAAGGCGGAGTAGCTGTTGTGATGAGTTATGCAGCAGTTATGATGTCACTTGAAGCACAAAGCATTGGCCATTGGGTGTGTTTTACTTGAACCTAATCATGTGGGACATAGTTTGATAATTTATGAGAAAATAACAAGTGCAAAATACCACTGAGAATTTTTCTTAGAGGATAGGAACTGCAGCTCATGAGAGATCATTTATAGGAGAGGAAAAATGAAATGTTTCTGCCAAGGAAACTACACCAAAAAACTGTGGAGCACATTGGTAAGCTGACAGGTGAACAGGCAAGTACACCATCCCAAAGACCTACTACAACAACAGGAAAACCAAAAAGATGTCAACTGTGCCCTACAAAAAAGGACAGGAAAGCAAAACATATGTGCATGCTATTGGCATAAGTGATACTTATGTATGAAACATACAATTTTCATGTGTAAAGACTGCCTTGGGTGTGACAATTGAAGCAAAGATTATTTTTGTTGTAGAGTTCTATTGGTACAGTGGACCCTTGAGTTATGATCATACTGATACATAAACAACTTGGGTTA